AAGCTCATGACCATAGGTGAGGGAGGGAACAAAGATTAACCGTTAAATCGAGAGCTTTGCCTTTCGGCTCAACTCCCTCTTTACCTCAACGGTCCGATACAGCGACCGCATCACTGCGCACGCTGCACCGATCCGCCTGTCAATCTCACGCTCCATCCTTCCCTCACTCGTGAACAAGACCCCGAGATACTTGAACTCCTCCACCCACCTCGGATTTGGAGGTGCTGATTCTCATCCCAGCCGCTTCACACTCGCTGCAAACCGGCCCAGTGCATGCTGCAGGTCCTGGTTCATTGGGGCCAAACGGAAAACATCGTCCGCAAAAAGCAGAGATGAAATCCTGTGGTCCCCGAACCGGACCCCCTCCGGCCCCTGGCTGCGCCTAGAAATTCTGTCCATAAAAACAGTGACCAGAACCGGTGACAAAGGGCAGCCTTGGCGGAGGCCAACATGCACCGGGAACAGGTCTGACTTACTGCCGGTAATGCGAACGCAGCTCTGGCTCCAGTCATACAGGTACCGAACGGCCCTCAGCAGAGGACCCCGGACACCGTACTCCCGGAGAACCCCCCAAAGGACATCCCGAGGAACGCCTTTTCCAAATCCACAGAGCACATGTGGACAGGTTGGGCGAACTCCCATGAATCCTCGAGTATCCGATGGAGAGTATAGAGTTGGTCCAGTGTTCCGCGACGAAAACTACACTGCTCCCCCTGAATCTGAGATTCGACAATCAGTCGTAGTCCCCTCTCCAGTACCTTGGAGCAGACCTTACCGGGGAGGCTGAGGAGTGTGAATCCACGATAATTGGAACACACCCTCCGGTCCCCCTTCTTGTAGAGAGGGACCACCACCCCAGTCTGCCACTCCATTGGCACCGCCCCCAATCGCCACGCGATGTTGCACAGACGTGTCAGCCAAGACCTACTGAGCCAAGTCCTACAACATCCAGAGACTTTAGATCGTCAGGACGGATCTCATCCACTCCCGGCGCCTTGCCACCATGGAGGCTGCCAACCACCTTGGTGACCTCAGCCAGGGAGATAGAAGTATCCGCCCCAACATCCTCAGCCTCTGCCTCCGGGACGGCGGACGTGACAGGGGGATTGAGGAGAACCTCAACGTTGTTCTTCCACCGCCCGACAATATCCCCAGTCGAGGTCAGCCGCTCTCCACCCGCCCCATACACAGTGTTGGCAAATAACTGCTTCCCCCTCCTGAGGCGCCTGACGGTTTGCCAGAATCTCGTCGAGGCCGACCGACAGTCATGCTCCATGGACTCTCCGAACTCCTCCCAGTCCCGGATTTTCAGATTCAGATTCATTTTATTAGCCATGTGCAGTTTTTACCTTTGCAACAGCCCGGGCCGCAGCACGCTTGGCCTGCCGGTACTGGACAGCTGCCTCAGGAGTCCCCCGAACCCTCATGGCTCGATAGGACTCCTTCTTCAGCCTGACGGCTTCCCTTACTGCCGGTGTCCACCACCGGGTTCGGGGGTTGCCGCCGGCACCAGCACCAGAACCCTTGCGACCACAGCTACGAGCTGCCGCATCGGCGATAGAGGAAGAGAACATGGTCCACTCAGACTCAATGTCCCCCTCCTCCGCCGGGACCTGGGAGAAGCTCTCCCGGAGGTGTGAGTTGAAAGTCCGCCTGACAAGGGGCTCAGCAAGAGGTTCCCAGCAGACCCTCACTACACACTTGGGTCTGCCAGGTCTAGCTGGCTTCCTCCCCTGCCAACGGATCCAACTCACGACCAGGTGGTGATCGGTTGACAGCTCCGCCCCTCTCTTCACCCGAGTGTCCGAGACACGCGGTCGAAGGTCAGATGATACAAAGTAAATCATCGACCTCCGGCCTAGGGTGTCCTGGTGCCACGTGCACTGGTGGACACCCTTGTGCTCAAACATGGTGTTCGTGATGGAAAAACCTAGCACAGAAGTCCAACAACTGAATACCGCTCGGGTTCAGATCAGGGGGGCCGTTCTTCCCAATCACCCCCTCCAAGTGTTACATCTCCAAACTCCGCTCCACTCTCTCCCCCTCTGACGCTGAAACTTTAGTTCATGCCTTTGTCTCTTCCAGGCTGTATTACTGCAACGCCCTCCTCGTCGGGATCCCGGCAAAAACGCCTTCAAAAGCTTCAGCATATTCAAAATACCGCCACCAGGATCCTGACAAGGACGCCGAAGCACCAGCACATCACCCCAGTCCTCCGCGATCTTCACTGGCTTCCAATCATCCAACGCATCCAATACAAAATCTGCCTCCTCACCTACCAATGCATCCACGGACATGCCCCGGACTATCTCACAGAACTTCTCACTCCTCCGCCCATAACCAGAGCACTCCGGTCCACAGACACCAACCTCCTCTCCATCCCCAGAACTAAACTCCAGACAATGGGTGACCGGGCTTTCCAGGCGGCTGCTCCCAAACTGTGGAACGCCCTACCACCACACCTGAGGGCCCCACAGTCATTGGAGACCTTCAAAAGAGGACTTAAAACTTTTCTGTTCCCTTCTTAACATTGTTTTAACATTGTTTTAACTTAAATGATGTGTGCTTTTATTGTTGTTGTTCTGTAGCACTTTGAGATTTGTATGTAAAGTGCAAAACAAATTAAAGGTATTATTATTATTATTACTGGCATCTCCCAAATGGGCGTTGAATTCCCCCAGGAGAATAACGGAGTCCCCGGGCGGTGCACCGTCCAGTACCCTTCCCAAGGACTCCAAGAAGGCCGGGTACTCTGCACTGCTGTTAGGCCCGTAGGCCGTCACAACAGTGAGAGACTTGTCCCCCACCTGGAGGCAGAGGGACGCAACCCTCTCATTCACCGGGGAGAACTCCAACACATGGCGGCAATGAAAATGGCCACCCCCGCTTGCTGCCTCTCCCTGCAGGAAACACCAGAAAAGTAGAGCGTCCAACCCGTCTCAAGGAGTTGGGTTCCAGAGCCCAAGCTGTGTGTGGAGGTGAGGCTGACTATCTCTAGTCGGTGTCTCTCAACCTCCCCCATGAGCTCCTTCCCCCCCAGTGAGGTGACATTCCACGTCCCAAGAGCCAGATGTTGAGTGTGCGGACCGGGTCGCCGAGGTCTCCGCCTTCGACTGCTGCCCAGTCCTCTTGGCACCACGCCAGCATGGACCCCTCTGCAGGGGGTGGGCCCACAGGAGGGCTTGCCCACAGCGACCTTTCGGGCTGAGCCCGGTCAGGCCTTGTGGGCTAAGGCCCGGCCACCAATCGCTCGCGTTCAACCCCCGACCCCAGGCCTGGCTCCGGGGTGGGGCCCCGGCTGCGCCATGCCGTGCGACGTCACTGATCTTCTATTAGTGCTGTCCATGATGGCTTCGGACTGCGCTTTGTCTGACTCGTCACCCGAGACCTGTCTGCCATGCCTGCCAGGGACAGACAGGCATAGCTTAAGATGGCAGACCAGGGGGGAGCAGCCTGAGACAAGTGTACCAATAACGAGTATTCAACAGTATGAGGTATTTGGATTAAACTTGTGAGTTACAGTGAGGCCTTGAAGAAAACTGGTCGAGGAGGATGAACATCACTGTAGTCGAGAACACGGCCTTATGTGCATCATGGGTGTTTAGGATTTTATAAATTGGTTTTGAGCAAAAGTCCAAATACAAATGACTTACATGCTGGTAGAAAATGACCACTTTGACTTAAATGACTACTGTAACAGTGAACAATTGTTTGTTCTCTCTACAAAAGACATATTTTTGCCCATTCTTCTAACGTAAAGTGAACTCTCGATCACTTTGTGCAAACACACCCTTACATGTTCATACTTACAAGTATTTGCTAGATCATTGTTACAGTATGGTTAATACGTCTATTCTAATGGTCAAAATATGTGATTGTATTTAAATAACAATCAGATTGTCAAAAATAATGTACTTTTTGATCTTATAGAATTAACTGTGTCATTTGTTTTTAAGATATGATTATTGACAATCTTAATTTGAGATGTTGATATTTTATTCCATGATACAACTGAAAAGTAAATGTTGCCAGTTTCCTGATATTTGAACCAGGATGTGGCAACGTTTTCCCTGTTCAGTGTTTAAACCTTTTGGATTTATGTTACAAACGCTATACTAAATAAATGCTGACAGCCTATTCATTCTGTAAACTTACGAAACTCAATATGTTCATATATTTCCATGACACTTTCCACAAAGGCAGTTGTGGTGGGTTCAAAGACCCACCATAACCAACATATTTTGGATCGGGGTGCACATGTGTTTAAATGCAGACGTTTGTTAATAAAGCAACACTTAAGCAACAAGTAGGTTAGACTACTGCAATGGCCTGCTCACAGGTCTGTCCAAACAGGCTGTAAAACAGCTGCAGTACATCCAAAATGTAGCAGCTCGAGTCCTGACTAGAACCAGGAAGTACGACCGCATTAGTCCACTTCTCAAGTCTCTGAACTGGTTCCTGTGGCTCAGAGAATAGACTTTAAAACAGCTCTGCTTGTGTACAAGTCTCTCCATGGCCTCGCACCAAAATATATTAGTGACATGTTCGTCCCATATGAAACAGCCCGGACTCTGAGGAGCACAGGGACTGGACTCTTGTTAGTGCCCAGAGTCAGAACTAAACATGTCTGAAGATGCGAGACAGGCCTCCTCTCTGACAATGTTTAAAACCAGGTTGAAAACAGTTCTGTTTAGCTGTGCACACAACTGAGGGATTGTATATTTTATATTTTTATCTTTCTTTTTAACGTACTGTAATTATTTATGATTTTAATGCTATTTTGTCTCGTTCAGCACTTTGAGTTGCCTTGTGTATGAATTGTGCTATACAAATAAACTTGCCTTGTCTTGTCTTGCCTTGTCAAAAAAATTACTTTGTTTAATGAGTAATGGCAGCATAACGTAATGTAAGATATAGTTTTTAGGCTTATCACATACAAAACAAATTAGTATTTCAATCGTATTTTATCCACTGGTACCACCGCTCTCTTGGTTCTGGTCCTACTGCTGCTTGACTTGGGCCTCTTCGTTGTTCCCTCTCGTTTCTCTGCCTTTCAGCAGGAGGCCCACTGCCGCCTCCTCAGACACACTCTGTGACCTGTGCTCCTGGTTCTCCTGCTGCTGTTCTTCTCCCTTTTCCACCTTCTGCCTGGAGTTCATCGGGGCTAGGTGTCTTTTTTAGGGCAAAAAGAAGTCCGAAATACATTTTTGCCCGGGCATTTTCGCTCTGTATTTCTATTTTGCGCTGTTTGTCAGAAGGGACAAACTGCACAATAGATGGTTTTCCGTTGACGTCACGCACTACCCACAATTCCGCAGTTTGCCATATTGGCTGTCTAGCCGCAGCTAGTTGTAGGCAAACAAAGCGCTCAAATCACTTTTTTTGCGCTAAAACATGCCGACTACCTGCATCGTTTGGGGGTGCAGTAACTGTGCAGATTGTGGGGACATTCCGAAGGTTATTACAAGCCAGGGGAGCAACTCTCGACGGAAAAAAGACTCTTTAGTTGGCGAGAGGGATTCAACCCTAAGCCCCTGAAAAACTAGCCTGGCTCTGCCAGACCATTGTAGTTCCGCCATGCTCCACCAGAGACGTTTGGCTGAACCACATGGGTCTGGTATCGAGCCCATAGCGAACGCCTTCCCCAGATTATTTTTTAATCGACCAATCAGGATTGCCGGTGCTACGTGGGTTCTGCACTGCCTTCTCAAGCTTTTCTCAAGCAGCAGCGAGAGGAATCCAAGATGGCGGACGTAAAGTCCGCAAATCTTTTTAGAAGAGTAAATACGATCGAATTAAGACACAGAGGTCACTTTTAATGCAATTTGAGGCGAGATGTAGATGGTTCTATGTTGATATATGTGTGTTTTAAGAGTCAAATGTTCCTGTAAAGTTTGGTTGAAGCACTGGTTCAGTGTTCCTGTTTACACACTGCAGCAGGGTTGCCAGGTTTGGTCGTTCCCGTATTAAATAAACAGAAAGACAATAAACACAATCACGGTACACGGTAGCCCAAGTTGATTATATTACGTTTTTCGTTTTTAGCCAAAAAAAATCATTGAGGTTTTTTTTTTGAGGGTTGGAAAATATTTCTGGGATTTGGCAACCTATGGGAGCCGTATGCTTCGATGTGAGTGGTTGAAAGCAGGCTTCATTCAAGATAACGGACAAGTGGTCTATCCAATCACATACAAGGATTTTTTTTACAAGGCCCTGCCTTCTGAAATCCAACCACTATGGCTCAGTACCAGACTCATGTGTGAAGTGCAGCGAAATACATGGGTCTGGCGAGAGTCAGGCTACTGAAAAACGGCACTATAAGGTCTTTTTTGACCATTTCATAACAGGTAAGAGCTAGATCTGTGCATGTGTGGTTTATATTCAGCGCTGCGATTTGACTGTGATACCATGTATATATGGGACTCAAGCGATCCCCTGTACATGAATGAGAGGGGGAGGAGGTTGAGGGGTGGTAGACAAAAGTGATTTACGACCTGTGATATAAACTGCTTCGTTCAAAATAAATGATTGATTGAAAGAAATATTGCATCATATACATCATGAACTTTTTTTTTATTGTAAAACTGTTAAGTGGAAGTAAGCCATTTCTGGCAAAGTCCACTGGTCTCGCCGCATTTCATATGGATCCAAATCTACGATCGCTCTCAATTTCTCCAACGTTAGCACCCCCTCTCCAACAGGGGGTGCTAACGCGTCCCCCGCACCCTTACTTCCCACGGCCTTGTTTGTAAACTGGGCACCAGGGCTCTCAACAAAACAGATTGGTTCTAGAAAAATCCATCCAGAGTTTCCATATATATGTATTTAAACCTCTGTCACATCTTTAGATCAGCTATTTTCTGAGAGAAAAGTGAAAAAGAGAGGACCACCCTCTCTCAGCCTCTTACAATATGTTATTCTTTCAGTTGAAACGAACAATATGTAGGCCTATTACTGGTATTTATGAAATTTGACATAATGGCTCTATTTTCCCCCAGTATCAGACATAGACTGTTTATAGGTGAACAATCCTAACCCCTAGCTCAATGAATCCCAATAGGGAAGTGCTCATGTACAAAGTTTTGCTCCTATTGACTTACATTGAAAATTTAACTCCAAAGCTCAATAACCATTTCTGTCAAACTCAGTATTTTGGGCTTATGAAATCTGTGGTTTACTGATCTCTAAGATACTGGCTTTTATATGTGTAGTTTACATTGTTTTTTGTAAATCCAGAGATGAGCCATGGAGGGTATCCCAAAGCTGGGATACCTACCTTTTTTCTGTAGCTAATACATGTTTTTTGTCTCAACAGCAAAAGTTTGTGCAACCCACTTTGGAATTTACATACTAGGTTCATTAAGAGCTCAAATATTAAGTTTTGGAACTGTAGCCACAATGATAGATAGACCATAATTTAGAAAATGTAAATTGATTTAGTTAAAAGATGTCAAGAATTATATCCACGAATACAATGCAATATTAAAATAACATACAATAATAAAATGGCGCCTTTAAAATAACCCAAAAATAAAACCCTTTCAAGTCTGGTGAGTGTACTCAAGTTTCGTTCAAAGTTGTGGATTTGTGATGAGATTCTCCAATTTTGGCTCAGTTGGGGTGGCTCGCCATCTAGTGGTCTTCTCCCAAGATGTTCCCAAACCTCATTAAAAAGACCTGACCTGTATTTAAAGACTGGCAAATAATTTTCTCGAGTCATGACATTTTATCTATTTCTAATTCAAAGGTACAACATATTTCTAATGTACTGTACATAGCAAAACGAAAAGAGATTTTCTGTATGCAAACATTTTCTAATTATTCATTTACACAAAACATTTATAGGATTATTTCAACCCTTTATACAATAAACAATAAACAATAGCATTGTAGTCACAGCCAACGTTTCTCACCGATTCACGTCTATTCCGGGACAAAGTGACGTCACGGCTCTGGGTGTGAGTGTGGCCGAGTGGCATTTAAAAGGGAAAGCAACGCCACCTAGTTTTAAAAATGAGACTAGGACTCAATAAAGGAAGGTTCTTAAAAACAAGGTGAGCAGTGTAAAAACCAGAGTTTTAAAAGGGATAAAACAATTTATTACAAATAAAATTACAGAATAAAATACTAAAAATATAAAAGCAAAGTCCAGCTAAAAGTCCAGTAAGGACAGGGGCAACTCCGCGTTCCCAAGGCAGCAGACCTTAAACCAGAGGAGCAGGAGGCAGTAAAACGTTCTTTTTAAAAATAGAAATCTAAGTTAAAAGTGGGATGAATCCCGGCCAGAGCACTAAAGGTCACTTACGTGCACCTTTAGTGCGGTGATGTCACGTCGTGCTCTGGCTCCACATGAGGGAATGGCTGGCCAGGCCCCTCCCTGAAACAAAAACGGGTCTCCCACAGTAAAACTAACCTTGCCTGCAAGCTGAATTCTCGCGGTATTTGTGAGTTCACAAACACTCGAGAATACATCTTGTACCGCTCCCGCTTACACTTTTCGAGTCGAACCACTGGGTGTGCGAGCCAATCACGCGCCAGTCTGGGGGTTTAGGGCGGGGTATCCGGGTTTGACGAAAGCAAGAAGTGCCGGGCCGAAGCAAAACAAACATGGCTACGCAGGAGGACGGACGCAAAGTCAGTTTTAGCAGAATCTCCAATTTCTTTTTTGAAAGATGAACAGCGAGAGGCGCTTTGTACATTTCTGGACGGCAACCTTGGTAGGCGGGCACACAGCGTCACTTCGCCCAATCAGCTTCAAGTATTCTGCTGCTTACCCCTCCTTTCCCCGAAAGGATTCTCCGGGAGAAATCCCAGATTGATATCGCGGAGAACGCGTTAGAGTTCTACACAATCATCAATCTGGCTTTTGCCAGGTTACAGTAAAACTCCTTAAAAACAGATTTCTATCGGCCAGCAGCAGCCGTATGCCCGACCAGAGCACTACAATGTTACTTACAGGCACGTTGTCTCTCTGCCCGCTGCGTGTAGTCCGCATCGCGCTCTGGCTTTCCGTGGGTCCTGTGCAGGTACTGCTGACTGCTGCTGCCGTTCTCCGTTGCCTCCTCTCCTCGGTCGCCCAAGACGCCCTGTCGTCCACCTGTGTTCCCTCTGCCCGGGACGGGGCCGCAGTCTCGCCAGCCACTTGCCGCCCACAGGTTGCCACTGGGCACACGCAGGGGAGAGCGGGCACATTCCATACGTGATGTTGGGCCTAGCCCGGTGCACACACGCCTCTCTGCGCTTTCAATGCGCGCCCATCACCGGTGCCGCTCTCCCCGCTGGCCTCAGTCCCCCGTAGTCTCTGGCTGGCGGTGCCTCTCCTTTGGCCCAGTCCGGTGTCCTCCTCTCGTCTTCCTCCCCCATAGTCTGTTTAAAAACCCTTTTCTCATTGGCTCCAGCCCCCAGTGTCTATGTCCATTTGTTAAAATCAGTGGAAACTGCCACAGGTGTGAGGATAAAAAACAGGAAGTAAAAACACACAGTGCGGCACACAAAACACATTTCAAAATAAAAGCATGCATAAAAACAAAGTGCGCTGTGCGTCTACCCTGTGACATGAGCGCTTGCGTAGATAACTGCCTCTGTCCTTAATATCGACCGGTTAGAAGATTGTTGCAATAAACAGCCAACACATCATCAATCAAGCTATTCCTCACTCTTTCTCTCTTCTCTCTGCTCTGAAACAGTGGGGAAGTCCGTTAGTGTAGCTGCCGTTGGTCATTTGCGGACGTTAAGTTACGGTAAAAGTTACAAAGTAACTCTTACCGATCAGTCAACTTTAACTCCAGGCCAGCAACAGGACTCTTCTTTTGATTGGATTGATTTTTTTTGTCTTTTTGTCTTTTGATTTTCTCCGAATTGGTGAAATGTTGGCTCTGCGTGTATAGATCCATGGCGGCCACTTTTAAGTTTCAAAGGCCTCAACGAACCCGAGCAACATCAGGCCTGCAACGAAAGACAATTGACTGAGGACTCAGGTTTAAGAAGGGTTACCTATTTGAAGGAAACAAAAAGGAGAAAACTTGGATGTTTATTTTTATTTGAAATCTGCTTGTACTTTATTTTTTATTTACATCTTATTTTTTTATTCAAACTAAATTTATACATTTTCACTAAACTTTACTGTGTTTGTGTCCTAAATAATTTGGTATAAAGGCTTTAAAAAGGGTTTACAAATACATATATGCTCAAGCTAATTTAATTATTCTTAGTGGGTCATTAACAACCATTAACAATATTCCCATTAAGTGGAGGCACCGTCAATTCATATTTTAGTTAAAACTATTGATACTTGTTCAAGAGTATGTGTACTACTGTTTCTCCTGTTTACTAGCGCCTATAATTTTAAGTAGTACTTCCATAACATTAACAACAAGTTAATACCTTAGCTACTTGGGACGGGTGTTACATATAAAAATAAATAAATAAATAAAGGTACACATTTTCATTTTGTACTTAAATTACTTTGTGGTTTACATGCAAATTATGAATTCTGTTTTAACCTTATTTTTTACACCTGGGTTACATCTGCAAAAGTATTTTTTAAATTATTATCTTGTATATACTTGTAAGAGACGAGTGGGTGAGTATTTAAGGTGATGGGCTGAGATTTGATTGGGCAAGTTTCAATGTTTCTATGAGGCTAAATACATGTGGAAAGTAGTGAGGAAGCGAACTGTTTTGAGCAAGGAAATAGTAACATGGATGTTTTTGTATGTGTGTGTGTGTGTGGTTTGAAACTTAGGAATCCCAGCTTTAAGTGAATAGCCAAAGTCACTAACAAAGCTGCACAGCATGTCTATTGACCAGATGCATCAACGTCATCCAGTCACGTGATTGTGAATGAGCTTACGGCGGAAGAATTGGAAACTAGCATTGCTGCGAGAGCAAAACGGACCACAACTCTTAAAAACGGAGCTTCCAATGTTCGATTACGTTATAGGCGGAAGTAGGACATCAGGTCAGGGCTCACAAAGAGTGGTATTTGGAGGAAGTTAAGGATCGCCTAACTGGATGTTGACCCGTACCTTCTCCCCCCAGTCAATTTTATCGATTAAATAAAATGTACATTTTTGCCCAAATTCACCCTACATGATCTTTATCATTATCGTTAACAATGCATCCCCTCACACTGGAGCAGATTTATATGTACATTTTGCTGGTAGCATCAGCAATAGTCCACTTTTCTGTGGCTTTTCTGTCTACAGCCAAACATGATACGTACTGACGGAGAGGAAAATAGTGAAACACGCAATTGACTTAAAAGATACAAATGTCAATGTTGCAGTGCACATACAGGACAGTAGTAAGAGACACGTTTGACGTGTGTCATTGTCCTCCAAATTAATGGAAAGAGTGCTTGGATGGGTCCCAGTCCTCTTGGTTGTTCGCCGCTGGCCATCGTCGTCTTCTGTCTTCATGACGAGCAGGTATCAGATAAAAAAGCGTATGTCCTTGCCTGTTAGTATAATCAACCGCACTGCAAAATGTCACAGTTTTGGCTGTAATGCGCTGAAACAGGTTGTTTTGGTCAGGTGTCCGTAGGCTCCAGTTAGACTTCTGCCGTCTGTCATGGAGAGTGGGCGTGGCCGGGACGTCACATGCAAGGGGTCTATAGCTCACTGTACGTTCAATCCAGTTTTTTGGCGGCCTTTGGATTCCAAATAGTTTGTGTTACACAGGATCATGTGAGATCAAGTTTGGTTGACGGGCCTGTGTCTGTGTGTTTATTGCCATAGTATGCTATAAAAAATAATGTCTTAATATATACTGTATGTGTTTTTATAACATTGAGTGTTGCTACTATTTTTTTAACTAAGTCGTCCATTAGAAAAAGGTTACAGTAAAAACATATTCATCTGTATTCTGTTGTGTGATTTTTCTATGGGTCCATGCTGAACCGATATTCTGTATGGACTTCCTGGTAATAGATTAGCAGCGAGTACAGCAGAAACAATGCACAAACTCCAAACTTGTATCAATAACTATCACAGACTCATGTTTGAATGCTTGAGCGTTTTAATCACATTTGACAGAAAAGAAAAGTGAAGACAAAGCATCTTTCTACACAACTTCTCTCTGCTCTTAATGAGGCACGAGACCCCAGAGCAGACCATAGTAACATGGACTCGTCACACCTTCAAGTTAGCAGCAGGAAAAGGAAAAAAAATGTTGATTCAGATTTGCATTGAATATTGAGCATAAATCAGGGTTTATGCTCGTAGCAGCTCAGAGCTACTTTTTCTGGCAGATGAACGGGCGACGGTTTTCACATTTCTCGTCATTCCAGCACTTGGCGCCTGTAAAAAGGCATCATGTTTTAACAGTGATACAATAATAGTATTTTGTTCAGATGTGATTTACGTGAGAAGGTATCACGTTTCAGCCGGTGACCCTAAACCCAATGCTAAAGTCTTGTTTTGTTTAGATCCTGACTTACTAGAAAAGTTGATCTCGGTGCACCCCTCATTTCCACCTTTATTGTTGGGTTCTCCTCTGCAGAATTTGGTAAAGCGCAGAGGATCGCTGTTACTCCAGAGCCAAACATTGTTCTAAAAAGCCCAAATTGTATTATTTTCATGTGGAGTTTAAAATGAATTTTAAAGTTAAAAAAGCAACTAACGTATTGTGCATCAGAGAGTCCAATCCAGGCTCGCCTTCCTTGGGCCAGACGCTTCAAAAATTCGTCTGTCGCACTGTCGTGAACCACTGCAAGACTTCCACCCAGCGCAACACAGTGGACCTAAAAACAGGTATGAAATAAAACAGAATTTGAAAATGCTCCACTGTTCCTTTAGCATTTGTCAGTAGAGTTACCTGAGCATGAGCCCAATTCCTGGCAGTTGGAATATAGACGTATTGGCTCGATCCGCGGGTGCCGGTGCACCAACTTCCAGGATTGCAGCAGGATCTTTTGGCTTAAAGAAATATGTGAACTCTTTATATTTGACAAAGTTTTCAAACTTATAGCTCACAAAGTATGTTTCAATGTTCTGTAGACCATATTCGATCAGTCTCCTGGTATTCTCCAGCGTGTTGTAAATTTGTCAAAAAGATTAAAGTAGTTTTAAATATGTCAGCATGTGACAGATTTCTGGAGGTTTAATTTTTAAGCTGAATGACCATTCTGTGCTGTGCAACACAGAAATCATGCTGATTTTTGACTTTTTCAACAACAAAAAATGAGTAAAAAAAACTTCCCATGTCCCACCAAACACAACAGATTTCTTTCCAGTAAAATATCTACTTGCTTAGGAGTATTTGTTTTAGCAGACTCTCTTTATCTACTCTGTTTAGTTCCTTAAAGATTGTGACCAGTTTATGCAAAACAGTAAGTAACAGTAATTCCAAAAGGATCTAAGATTCTTATTTAATGTGTGTTCAAAATGTCTCTTACCCCGTTCTGGACTCGTTTCAGCTTCATCTGGGAAAACAGTTTTAAATTTGTCAATTTGAATAAATGCAGTGAGTTTGTTTTTTATGTATCATTTGTTTTGTTCATAACAAAAAACAAACAAAAAGAGGAAGCATGTTATAATAAATGACTGTTTTATCTCTTTTAACCACATTACCACATTGTTACTTTATCAAAAACAGACTTTTAGATCCATTCACGCTAATATAAAACTTCTGGCACAAACATGTAGCTGCTCTTTCTTCAAAAAGCCTTGTCCCTGCTCCGGTAAAGGCATGATGTCATTGTACCATTATGACATCATGCTCAGAGAGGTTTTAGTCATTTTAAAACAAAAAGATTGCCCATAAATTATTTTTTTTTTTATATTTCTCAAGCTTTCTTGTTCTTTGCAGTCACATGGCTGCGGTTGCAGCGAGACATTTTCTACACCTCCCTCTGGTGGTAGCATAGGGATAGAATATTTTTTACCCTTCATACTTTCACAATATATTTTCTATTTGAAAGAATATTTCACATTTGCAGTCTCTGGGTTAGAGATTTCTAAAGAAATAACTCTATTGATCTCAGGCTTAGATTGTGTGATGCATTTACTGTCCTCTCAGTGACTATACTTTATACTTTCTCTGGTCACAAACTAATCATGCTAATGAAAAGCCAGCATCAAAATGAGGGTCTTCTCACCAGTCGCAGCTATGTCTGTATCGTCGGCTGTCACATGGAAGAAGAAGTAAATGTTATTACACAGTTACATCCGCATTGGAACAGCTGCATACTCACGTCCGTTGACCTGTTCATCCCCGATTGGCTCATCTGCAGGTGGAAAGTGCAGAAATGATATCAATATTCATTATTTTTGATCATTTCTATCTAGTTTTACTCTGATACTCACATGTGGTTTGGGCCACAGCGACACCAAAGAGCAGACACAAGAGCAGTAGCTTCATGACGGTGATGCAGAGGTCCACAGATAGAACTTACTGTAGAAGATAAAGGTTTATTTCAGATGTTCCAGTCACAGAGATGTGTTTGAGACTGACCTGATTGAGTGAAGTGTTGGTCCTTCAGTCTGAGGTACTGACTGCGACCACACTCTGCCCTTATATACCTGAAGTGGAACCATCTCCGGAAAACCAAGATGTGTGCACAAGTGTCCCATCACTGTTTGACACCCAGATACACTTTCATTTACTCAGATCGCACTTCATTTACTCAACGCTCACTGATATTCTGTCCCGAGTTGAAAACTGTTAAACTGTCAAACAAGGATAACCGGCAAAAGTGTCAGCGCAGATAAACCGGATTATAAACCCCCATAGAGCAGTGGTCACCAACCTTTTTAGTGCCGGTTTAGCATCAGACAATATTGTCATGGACTGACCGTTAATGAGGAACAGCTTTCATATCAGCTTCAGAGGGGATTTTTGAGTGAGCACAGATAATAATAATATGTGGCCACTTATTTAGAGAAGATTTTAACAGAGACATTGACTTAAAAAGGTCTAAAATGATGTTTAAGCCTGAGAGAATCCATCCATCCATTTTCTTCCGCTTCATCCGTTGCCGGGTAGCAAGGGCAGCAGTCTAAGCAGAGACGCCCAGACTTCCCTATCCACACACACTTCCTCAAACTCATCAGGGGGGACCCCAAGCCGTTCCCAGGCCAGCTGAGAGACATAGTCCCTCCAGCGTGTCTTGGGTCTTTCCCGGGTCTCCTCCTGGTGGGACGTGCCCGGAACACCCCCCAGGGAGGCGTCCAGGAGGCATCCGGGACAGATGCCCGAGCCACCTTAACTGGTTCGTCTCGACGTGGAGAAGCAGCAGCTCTACTCCGAGCTCCTCCCGTGTGACTGAGCTCCTCAGCCTATCTCTAAGGGAGCGCCCAGCCACTCTGCGGAGGAAGCTCATTTTGACCGCTTGTAACCGCGATCTCGTTCTTTCGGTCATTACCCAAAGCTCATGACCATAGGTGAGGGAGGGAACAAAGATTAACCGTTAAATCGAGAGCTTTGCCTTTCGGCTCAACTCCCTCTTTACCTCAACGGTCCGATACAGCGACCGCATCACTGCGCACGCTGCACCGATCCGCCTGTCAATCTCACGCTCCATCCTTCCCTCACTCGTGAACAAGACCCCGAGATACTTGAACTCCTCCACCCACCTCGGATTTGGAGGTGCTGATTCTCATCCCAGCCGCTTCACACTCGCTGCAAACCGGCCCAGTGCATGCTGCAGGTCCTGGTTCGTTGGGGCCAAACGGAAAACATCGTCCGCAAAAAGCAGAGATGAAATCCTGTGGTCCCCGAACCGGACCCCCTCCGGCCCCTGGCTGCGCCTAGAAATTCTGTCCATAAAAACAGTGACCAGAACCGGTGACAAAGGGCAGCCTTGGCGGAGGCCAACATGCACCGGGAACAGGTCTGACTTACTGCCGGTAATGCGAACGCAGCTCTGGCTCCAGTCATACAGGTACCGAACGGCCCTCAGCAGAGGACCCCGGACACCGTACTCCCGGAGAACCCCCCAAAGGACATCCCGAGGAACGCCTTTTCCAAATCCACAGAGCACATGTGGACAGGTTGGGCGAACTCCCATGAATCCTCGAGTATCCGATGGAGAGTATAGAGTTGGTCCAGTGTTCCGCGACGAAAACTACACTGCTCCCCCTGAATCTGAGATTCGACAATCAGTCGTAGTCCCCTCTCCAGTACCTTGGAGCAGACCTTACCGGGGAGGCTGAGGAGTGTGAATCCACGATAATTGGAACACACCCCTCCGGTCCCCCTTCTTGTAGAGAGGGACCACCACCCCAGTCTGCCACTCCATTGGCACCGCCCCCAATCGCCACGCGATGTTGCACAGACGTGTCAGCCAAGACCTACTGAGCCAAGTCCTACAACATCCAGAGACTTTAGATCGTCAGGACGGATCTCATCCACTCCCGGCGCCTTGCCACCATGGAGGCTGCCAACCACCTTGGTGACCTCAGCCAGGGAGATAGAAGTATCCGCCCCAACATCCTCAGCCTCTGCCTCCGGGACGGCGGACGTGACAGGGGGATTGAGGAGAACCTCAACGTTGTTCTTCCACCGCCCGACAATATCCCCAGTCGAGGTCAGCCGCTCTCCACCCGCCCCATACACAGTGTTGGCAAATAACTGCTTCCCCCTCCTGAGGCGCCTGACGGTTTGCCAGAATCTCGTCGAGGCCGACCGACAGTCATGCTCCATGGACTCTCCGAACTCCTCCCAGTCCCGGATTTTCAGATTCAGATTCATTTTATTAGCTATGTGCAGTTTTTACCTTTGCAACAGCCCGGGCCGCAGCACGCTTGGCCTGCCGGTACTGGACAGCTGCCTCAGGAGTCCCCCGAACCCTCATGGCTCGATAGGACTCCTTCTTCAGCCTGACGGCTTCCCTTACTGCCGGTGTCCACCACCGGGTTCGGGGGTTGCCGCCGGCACCAGCACCAGAACCCTTGCGACCACAGCTACGAGCTGCCGCATCGGCGATAGAGGAAGAGAACATGGTCCACTCAGACTCAATGTCCCCCTCCTCCGCCGGGACCTGGGAGAAGCTCTCCCGGAGGTGTGAGTTGAAAGTCCGCCTGACAAGGGGCTCAGCAAGAGGTTCCCAGCAGACCCTCACTACACACTTGGGTCTGCCAGGTCTAGCTGGCTTCCTCCCCTGCCAACGGATCCAACTCACGACCAGGTGGTGATCGGTTGACAGCTCCGCCCCTCTCTTCACCCGAGTGTCCGAGACACGCGGTCGAAGGTCAGATGATACAAAGTAAATCATCGACCTCCGGCCTAGGGTGTCCTGGTGCCACGTGCACTGGTGGACACCCTTGTGCTCAAACATGGTGTTCGTGATGGAAAAACCTAGCACAGAAGTCCAACAACTGAATACCACTCGGGTTCAGATCAGGGGGGCCGTTCTTCCCAATCACCCCCTCCAAGTGTTACATCTCCAAACTCCGCTCCTGCTCTCTCCCCCTCTGACGCTGAAACTTTAGTTCATGTCTTTGTCTCTTCCAGGCTGTATTACTGCAACGCCCTCCTCGTCGGGATCCCGGCAAAAAGCCTTCAAAAGCTTCAGCATATTCAAAATACCGCCACCAGGATCCTGACAAGGACGCCGAAGCACCAGCACATCACCCCAGTCCTCCGCGATCTTCACTGGCTTCCAATCATCCAACGCATCCAATACAAAATCTGCCTCCTCACCTACCAATGCATCCACGGACATGCCCCGGACTATCTCACAGAACTTCTCACTCCTCTGCCCATAACCAGAGCACTCCGGTCCACAGACACCAACCTCCTCTCCATCCCCAGAACTAAACTCCAGACAATGGGTGACCGGGCTTTCCAGGCGGCTGCTCCCAAACTGTGGAACGCCCTACCACCACACCTGAGGGCCCCACAGTCATTGGAGACCTTCAAAAGAGGACTTAAAACTTTTTTGTTCCCTTCTTAACATTGTTTTAACATTGTTTTAACTTAAATGATGTGTGCTTTTATTGTTGTTGTTCTGTAGCACTTTGAGATTTGTATGTAAAGTGCAAAACAAATTAAAGGTATTATTATTATTATTACTGGCATCTCCCAAATGGGCGTTGAATTCCCCCAGGAGAATAACGGAGTCCCCGGGCGGTGCACCGTCCAGTACCCTTCCCAAGGACTCCAAGAAGGCCGGGTACTCTGCACTGCTGTTAGGCCGTAGGCCGTCACAACAGTGAGAGACTTGTCCCCCACCTGGAGGCAGAGGGACGCAACCCTCTCATTCACCGGGGAGAACTCCAACACATGGCGGCAATGAAAATGGTCACCCCCGCTTGCTGCCTCTCCCTGCAGGAAACACCAGAAAAGTAAAGCGTCCAACCCGTCTCAAGGAGTTGGGTTCCAGAGCCCAAGCTGTGTGTGGAGGTGAGGCTGACTATCTCTAGTCGGTGTCTCTCAACCTCCCCCATGAGCTCCTTCCCCCCCAGTGAGGTGACATTCCACGTCCCAAGAGCCAGATGTTGAGTGTGCGGACCGGGTCGCCGAGGTCTCCGCCTTCGACTGCTGCCCAGTCCTCTTGGCACCACGCCAGCATGGACCCCTCTGCAGGGGGTGGGCCCACAGGAGGGCTTGCCCACAGCGACCTTTCGGGCTGAGCCCGGTCAGGCCCTGTGGGGTAAGGCCCGGCCACCAATCGCTCGCGTTCAACCCCCGACCCCAGGCCTGGCTCCGGGGTGGGGCCCCGGCTGCGCCATGCCGTGCGACGTCACTGATCTTCTATTAGTGCTGTCCATGATGGCTTCGGACCGCGCTTTGTCTGACTCGTCACCCGAGACCTGTCTGCCATGCCTGCCAGGGACAGACAGGCATAGCTTAAGATAGCAGACCAGGGGGGAGCAGCCTGAGACAAGTGTACCAATAACGAGTATTCAACAGTATGAGGTATTTGGATTAAACTTGTGAGTTACAGTGAGGCCTTGAAGAAAACTGGTCGAGGAGGATGAACATCACTGTAGTCGAGAACACGGCCTTATGTGCATCATGGGTGTTTAGGATTTTATAAATTGGTTTTGAGCAAAAGTCCAAATACAAATGACTTACATGCTGGTAGAAAATGACCACTTTGACTTAAATGACTACTGTAACAGTGAACAATTGTTTGTTCTCTCTACAAAAGACATATTTTTGCCCATTCTTCTAACGTAAAGTGAACTCTCGATCACTTTGTGCAAACACACCCTTACATGTTCATACTTACAAGTATTTGCTAGATCATTGTTACAGTATGGTTAATACGTCTATTCTAATGGTCAAAATATGTGATTGTATTTAAATAACAATCAGATTGTCAAAAATAATGTACTTTTTGATCTTATAGAATTAACTGTGTCATTTGTTTTTAAGATATGATTATTGACAATCTTAATTTGAGATGTTGATATTTTATTCCATGATACAACTGAAAAGTAAATGTTGCCAGTTTCCTGATATTTGAACCAGGATGTGGCAACGTTTTCCCTGTTCAGTGTTTAAACCTTTTGGATTTATGTTACAAACGCTATACTAAATAAATGCTGACAGCCTATTCATTCTGTAAACTTACGAAACTCAATATGTTCATATATTTCCATGACACTTTCCACAAAGGCAGTTGTGGTGGGTTCAAAGACCCACCATAACCAACATATTTTGGATCGGGGTGCACATGTGTTTAAATGCAGACGTTTGTTAATAAAGCAACACTTAAGCAACAAGTAGGTTAGACTACTGCAATGGCCTGCTCACAGGTCTGTCCAAACAGGCTGTAAAACAGCTGCAGTACATCCAAAATGTAGCAGCTCGAGTCCTGACTAGAACCAGGAAGTACGACCGCATTAGTCCACTTCTCAAGTCTCTGAACTGGTTCCTGTGGCTCAGAGAATAGACTTTAAAACAGCTCTGCTTGTGTACAAGTCTCTCCATGGCCTCGCACCAAAATATATTAGTGACATGTTCGTCCCATATGAAACAGCCCGGACTCTGAGGAGCACAGGGACTGGACTCCTGTTAGTGCCCAGAGTCAGAACTAAACATGTCTGAAGATGCGAGACAGGCCTCCTCTCTGACAATGTTTAAAACCAGGTTGAAAACAGTTCTGTTTAGCTGTGCACACAACTGAGGGATTGTATATTTTATATTTTTATCTTTTCTTTTTAACGTACTGTAATTATTTATGATTTTAATGCTATTTTGTCTCGTTCAGCACTTTGAGTTGCCTTGTGTATGAATTGTGCTATACAAATAAACTTGCCTTGTCTTGTCTTGCCTTGTCAAAAAAATTACTTTGTTTAATGAGTAATGGCAGCATAACGTAATGTAAGATATAGTTTTTAGGCTTATCACGTACAAAACAAATTAGTATTTCAATCGTATTTTATCCACTGGTACCACCGCTCTCTTGGTTCTGGTCCTACTGCTGCTTGACTTGGGCCTCTTCGTTGTTCCCTCTCGTTTCTCTGCCTTTCAGCAGGAGGCCCACTGCCGCCTCCTCAGACACACTCTGTGACTTGTGCTCCTGGTTCTCCTGCTGCTGTTCTTTTCCCTTTTCCACCTTCTGCCTGGAGTTCATCGGGGCTAGGTGTCTTTTTTAGGGCAAAAAGAAGTCCGAAATACATTTTTGCCCGGGCATTTTCGCTCTGTATTTCTATTTTGCGCAGTTTGTCAGAAAGGACAGACTGCACAATAGATGGTTTTCCGTTGACGTCACGCACTACCCACAATTCCGCAGTTCGCCATATTGGCTGTCTAGCCGCAGCTAGTTGTAGGCAAACAAAGCGCTCAAATCACTTTTTTTGCGCTAAAACATGCCGACTACCTGCATCGTTTGGGGGTGCAGTAACCGTGCAGATTGTGGGGACATTCCGAAGGTTATTACAAGCCAGGGGAGCAACTCTCGACGGAAAAAAGACTCTTTAGTTGGCGAGAGGGATTCAACCCTAAGCCCCTGAAAAACTAGCCTGGCTCTGCCAGACCATTGTAGTTCCGCCATGCTCCACCAGAGACGTTTGGCTGAACCACATGGGTCTGGTATCGAGCCCATAGCGAACGCCTTCCCCAGATTATTTTTAATCGACCAATCAGGATTGCCGGTGCTACGTGGGTTCTGCACTGCCTTCTCAAGCTTTTCTCAAGCAGCAGCGAGAGGAATCCAAGATGGCGGACGTAAAGTCCGCAAATCTTTTTAGAAGAGTAAATACGATCGAATTAAGACACAGAGGTCACTTTTAATGCAATTTGAGGCGAGATGTAGATGGTTCTATGTTGATATATGTGTGTTTTAAGAGTCAAATGTTCCTGTAAAGTTTGGTTGAAGCACTGGTTCAGTGTTCCTGTTTACACACTGCAGCAGGGTTGCCAGGTTTGGTGGTTCCCGTATTAAATAAACAGAAAGACAATAAACACAATCACGGTACCCCAAGTTGATTATATTACGTTTTTCGTTTTTAGCCAAAAAAAATCATTGAGGTTTTTTTTTTGAGGGTTGGAAAATATTGCTGGGATTTGGCAACCTATGGGAGCCGTATGCTTCGATGTGTGTGGTTGAAAGCAGGCTTCATTCAAGATAACGGACAAGTGGTCTATCCAATCACATACAAGGATTTTTTTTTACAAGGCCCTGCCTTCTGAAATCCAACCACTATGGCTCAGTACCAGACTCATGTGTGAAGTGCAGCGAAATACATGGGTCTGGCGAGAGTCAGGCTACTGAAAAACGGCACTATAAGGTCTTTTTTGACCATTTCATAACAGGTAAGAGCTAGATCTGTGCATGTGTGGTTTATATTCAGAGCTGCGATTTGACTGTGATACCATGTATATATGGGACTCAAGCGATCCCCTGTACATGAATGAGAGGGGGAGGAGGTTGAGGGGTGGTAGACAAAAGTGATTTACGGCCTGTGATATAAACTGCTTCGTTCAAAATAAATTATTGATTGAAAGAAATATTGCATCATATACATCATGAACTTTTTTTTTATTGTAAAACTGTTAAGTGGAAGTAAGCCATTTCTGGCAAAGTCCACTGGTCTCGCCGCATTTCATATGGATCCAAATCTACGATCGCTCTCAATTTCTCCAACGTTAGTACCCCCTCTCCAACAGGGGGTGCTAACGCGTCCCCCGCACCCTCACTTACCACGGCCTTGTTTGTAAACTGGGCGCCAGGGCTCTCAACAAAACAGATTGGTTCTAGAAAAATCCATCCAGAGTTTCCATATACATGTATTTAAACCTCTGTCACATCTTTAGATCAGCTATTTTCTGAGAGAGAAGTGAAAAAGAGAGGACCACCCTCTCTCAGCCTCTTACAATATGTTATTCTTTCAGTTGAAACGAACAATATGTAGGCCTATTACTGGTATTTATGAAATTTGACATAATGGCTCTATTTTCCCCCAGTATCAGACATAGACTGTTTATAGGTGAACAATCCTAACCCCTAGCTCAATGAATCCCAATAGGGAAGTGCTCATGTACAAAGTTTTGCTCCTATTGACTTACATTGAAAATTTAACTCCAAAGCTCAATAACCATTTCTGTCAAACTCAGTATTTTGGGCTTATCAAATCTTTTGATTTTCTCCGAATTGGTGAAATGTTGGCTCTGCGAGTATAGATCCATGGCGGCCACTTTTAAGTTTCAAAGGCCTCAACGAACCCGAGCAACATCAGGCCTGCAACGAAAGACAATTGACTGAGGACTCAGGTTTAAGAAGGGTTACCTATTTGAAGGAAACAAAAAGGAGAAAACTTGGATGTTTATTTTTATTTGAAATCTGCTTGTACTTTATTTTTTATTTACATCTTATTTTTTTATTCAAACTAAATTTATACATTTTCACTAAACTTTACTGTGTTTGTGTCCTAAATAATTTGGTATAAAGGCTTTAAAAAGGGTTTACAAATACATATATGCTCAAGCTAATTTAATTATTCTTAGTGGGTCATTAACAACCATTAACAATATTCCCATTAAGTGGAGGCACCGTCAGTTCATATTTTAGTTAAAACTATTGATACTTGTTCAAGAGTATGTGTACTACTGTTTCTCCTGTTTACTAGCGCCTATAATTTTAAGTAGTACTTCCATAACATTAACAACAAGTTAATACCTTAGCTACTTGGGACGAGTGTTACATATAAAAATAAATAAATAAATAAAGGTACACATTTTCATTTTGTACTTAAATTACTTTGTGGTTTACATGCAAATTATGAATTCTGTTTTAACCTTATTTTTTACACCTGGGTTACATCTGCAAAAGTATTTTTTAAATTATTATCTTGTATATACTTGTAAGAGACGAGTGGGTGAGTATTTAAGGTGATGGGCTGAGATTTGATTGGGCAAGTTTCAATGTTTCTATGAGGCTAAATACATGTGGAAAGTAGTGAGGAAGCGAACTGTTTTGAGCAAGGAAATAGTAACATGGATGTTTTTGTATGTGTGTGTGTGTGTGGTTTGAAACTTAGGAATCCCAGCTTTAAGTGAATAGCCAAAGTCACTAACAAAGCTGCACAGCATGTCTATTGACCAGATGCATCAACGTCATCCAGTCACGTGATTGTGAATGAGCTTACGGCGGAAGAATTGGAAACTAGCATTGCTGCGAGAGCAATACATTTTACATTACATGTACATTTTGCTGGTAGCATCAGCAATAGTCCACTTTTCTGTGGCTTTTCTGTCTACAGCCAAACATGATACGTACTGACGGAGAGGAAAATAGTGAAACACGCAATTGACTTAAAAGATACAAATGTCAATGTTGCAGCGCACATACAGGACAGTAGTAAGAGACACGTTTGACGTGTGTCATTGTCCTCCAAATTAATGGAAAGAGTGCTTGGATGGGTCCCAGTCCTCTTGGTTGTTCGCCGCTGGCCATCGTCGTCTTCTGTCTTCATGACGAGCAGGTATCAGATAAAAAAGCGTATGTCCTTGCCTGTTAGTATAATCAACCGCACTGCAAAATGTCACAGTTTTGGCTGTAATGCGCTGAAACAGGTTGTTTTGGTCAGGTGTCCGTAGGCTCCAGTTAGACTTCTGCCGTCTGTCATGGAGAGTGGGCGTGGCCGGGACGTCACATGCAAGGGGTCTATAGCTCACTGTACGTTCAATCCAGTTTTTTGGCGGCCTTTGGATTCCAAATAGTTTGTGTTACACAGGATCATGTGAGATCAAGTTTGGTTGACGGGCCTGTGTCTGTGTGTTTATTGCCATAGTATGCTATAAAAAATAATGTCTTAATATATACTGTATGTGTTTTTATAACATTGAGTGTTGCTACTATTTTTTTAACTAAGTCGTCCATTAGAAAAAGGTTACAGTAAAAACATATTCATCTGTATTCTGTTGTGTGATTTTTCTATGGGTCCATGCTGAACCGATATTCTGTATGGATTTTGATACAAGTTCTCCAAACTTGTATCAATAACTATCACAGACTCATGTTTGAATGCTTGAGCGTTTTAATCACATTTGACAGAAAAGAAAAGTGAAGACAAAGCATCTTTCTACACAACTTCTCTCTGCTCTTAATGAGGCACGAGACCCCAGAGCAGACCATAGTAACATGGACTCGTCACACCTTCAAGTTAGCAGCAGGAAAAGGAAAAAAATGTTGATTCAGATTTGCATTGAATATTGAGCATAAATCAGGGTTTATGCTCGTAGCAGCTCAGAGCTACTTTTTCTGGCAGATGAACGGGCGACGGTTTTCACATTTCTCGTCATTCCAGCACTTGGCGCCTGTAAAAAGGCATCATGTTTTAACAGTGATACAATAATAGTATTTTGTTCAGATGTGATTTACGTGAGAAGGTATCACGTTTCAGCCGGTGACCCTAAACCCAATGCTAAAGTCTTGTTTTGTTTAGATCCTGACTTACTAGAAAAGTTGATCTCGGTGCACCCCTCATTTCCACCTTTATTGTTGGGTTCTCCTCTGCAGAATTTGGTAAAGCGCAGAGGATCGCTGTTACTCCAGAGCCAAACATTGTTCTAAAAAGCCCAAATTGTATTATTTTCATGTGGAGTTTAAAATGAATTTTAAAGTTAAAAAAGCAACTAACGTATTGTGCATCAGAGAGTCCAATCCAGGCTCGCCTTCCTTGGGCCAGACGCTTCAAAAATTCGTCTGTCGCACTGTCGTGAACCACTGCAAGACTTCCACCCAGCGCAACACAGTGGACCTAAAAACAGGTATGAAATAAAACAGAATTTGAAAATGCTCCACTGTTCCTTTAGCATTTGTCAGTAGAGTTACCTGAGCATGAGCCCAATTCCTGGCAGTTGGAATATAGACGTATTGGCTCGATCCGCGGGTGCCGGTGCACCAACTTCCAGGATTGCAGCAGGATCTTTTGGCTTAAAGAAATATGTGAACTCTTTATATTTGACAAAGTTTTCAAACTTATAGCTCACAAAGTATGTTTCAATGTTCTGTAGACCATATTCGATCAGTCTCCTGGTATTCTCCAGCGTGTTGTAAATTTGTCAAAAAGATTAAAGTAGTTTTAAATATGTCAGCATGTGACAGATTTCTGGAGGTTTAATTTTTAAGCTGAATGACCATTCTGTGCTGTGCAACACAGAAATCATGCTGATTTTTGACTTTTTCAACAACAAAAAATGAGTAAAAAAACTTCCCATGTCCCACCAAACACAACAGATTTCTTTCCAGTAAAATATCTACTTGCTTAGGAGTATTTGTTTTAGCAGACTCTCTTTATCTACTCTGTTTAGTTCCTTAAAGATTGTGACCAGTTTATGCAAAACAGTAAGTAACAGTAATTCCAAAAGGATCTAAGATTCTTATTTAATGTGTGTTCAAAATGTCTCTTACCCCGTTCTGGACTCGTTTCAGCTTCATCTGGGAAAACAGTTTTAAATTTGTCAATTTGAATAAATGCAGTGAGTTTGTTTTTTATGTATCATTTGTTTTGTTCATAACAAAAAACAAACAAAAAGAGGAAGCATGTTATAATAAATGACTGTTTTATCTCTTTTAACCACATTACCACATTGTTACTTTATCAAAAACAGACTTTTAGATCCATTCACGCTAATATAAAACTTCTGGCACAAACATGTAGCTGCTCTTTCTTCAAAAAGCCTTGTCCCTGCTCCGGTAAAGGCATGATGTCATTGTACCATTATGACATCATGCTCAGAGAGGTTTTAGTCATTTTAAAACAAAAAGATTGCCCATAAATTATTTTTTGTTTTACATTTCTCAAGCTTTCTTGTTCTTTGCAGTCACATGGCTGCGGTTGCAGCGAGACATTTTCTACACCTCCCTCTGGTGGTAGCATAGGGATAGAATATTTTTTACCCTTCATACTTTCACAATATATTTTCTATTTGAAAGAATATTTCACATTTGCAGTCTCTGGGTTAGAGATTTCTAAAGAAATAACTCTATTGATCTCAGGCTTAGATTGTGTGATGCATTTACTGTCCTCTCAGTGACTATACTTTATACTTTCTCTGGTCACAAACTAATCATGCTAATGAAAAGCCAGCATCAAAATGAGGGTCTTCTCACCAGTCGCAGCTATGTCTGTATCGTCGGCTGTCACATGGAAGAAGAAGTAAATGTTATTACACAGTTACATCCGCATTGGAACAGCTGCATACTCACGTCCGTTGACCTGTTCATCCCCGATTGGCTCATCTGCAGGTGGAAAGTGCAGAAATTATATCAATATTCATTATTTTTGATCATTTCTATCAGTTTTACTCTGATACTCACATGTGGTTTGGGCCACAGCGACACCAAAGAGCAGACACAAGAGCAGTAGCTTCATGACGGTGATGCAGAGGTCCACAGATAGAACTTACTGTAGAAGATAAAGGTTTATTTCAGATGTTCCAGTCACAGAGATGTGTTTGAGACTGACCTGATTGAGTGAAGTGTTGGTCCTTCAGTCTGAGGTACTGACTGCGACCACACTCTGCCCTTATATACCTGAAGTGGAACCATCTCCGGAAAACCAAGATGTGTGCACAAGTGTCCCATCACTGTTTGACACCCAGATACACTTTCATTTACTCAGATCGCACTTCATTTACTCAACGCTCACTGATATTCTGTCCCGAGTTGAAAACTGTTAAACTGTCAAACAAGGATAACCGGCAAAAGTGTCAGCGCAGATAAACCGGATTATAAACCCCCATAGAGCAGTGGTCACCAACCTTTTTAGTGCCGGTTTAGCATCAGACAATATTGTCATGGACTGACCGTTAATGAGGAACAGCTTTCATATCAGCTTCAGAGGGGATTTTTGAGTGAGCACAGATAATAATAATATGTGGCCACTTATTTAGAGAAGATTTTAACAGAGACATTGACTTAAAAAGGTCTAAAATTATGTTTAAGCCTGAGACTAATGTATCAATAATGAGTATTTAACAATACAAAGTATGATTCAACTTGTGCGTTACAGTGAGGCCTTGAAGAAAACAGGTTGAGGAGGATGAACATCACTGTAGTCGAGAACACAGCCTTAACTGCAACACGGGTGCTTAGGATTTTCTAACTTTGTTCTGAGCAATCAAATGTGGAAAAGTCAAACTACAATGTCTAAAAGTTTTCAAAAACGTTTCCTGGCTGGTCAGGCAGATCAATACAGAATCCCCCACAAAACAACAGTAAGGGCAGGCTCCTTTTGTGGCACCGGCACCTGCCAGAGCTGATTAGTGGCATGTACACAACAAATGGCGTGTAAAGCGGCATGTGGACAACAAGTGGCGTTTAAAACGGCATGTGGGGAATAAATGGCGTGTAAAGCGGCATGTGGACAACGAGTGGCGTTTAAAACGGCATGTGGGGAATAAATGGCGTGTAAAGCGGCATGTGGACAACAAGTGCCGTTTAAAACGGCATGTGGGGAATAAATGGCGTGTAAAGCGGCATGTGGACAACAAGTGGCGTTTAAAACGGCATGTGGGGAATAAATGGCGTGTGAAGCGGCATGTGGGCAATAAATGCCGTTTAAAACGGCATGTGGACAACAAGTGGCGTTTAAAACGGCATGTGGGGAATAAATGGCGTGTGAAGCGGCATGTGGGCAATAAATGGCGTTTAAAACGGCATGTGGACAACAAGTGGCGTTTACAACGGCATGTGGGGAATAAATGGCGTTTAAAACGGCATGTGGGCAACAAATACAGTTGAAAGCAGCCTGTACAAAAGACACCAAGCAGCATTAGTGTAGCTAGTGTTCCAGTGGCTCAAATGGAAAAGCATAGGTCTACGGTTCCGATGGTTGCTAGTTCAAACCCCAGTGATTACCAATGACATTTGCTGATGTTGGGTCCTTGGGCCTAACACTCCATGAAGAATGTCAGAAGTGCCATAAATTGTTTGAAAAATGTTGTTTGAGTAATAATAATATGTTATTGGATACATTTGTTGAAAGACTTAATTTCATGTATTATATATAGTTAAATTCCACGCAAGCTGTGTCAATCAGTGGCGCACTTGGTTTATAACTGCCTCTCATGCGGAAGGTACCTGGTTCAAATTCAGGATAGTTTGATTTTTTTTTTTTGTCAGATTAAATACAAATTTAATATGTATGACATTATATATATATATATAAATAAAACAAAAGAAAAATTCATTTTATTTCTCTCTCTTCTTTAATAAAACCACATCAGAAACATGGAACAATAAGAAAGAGCATTAATACATATATTTTTTTATAAGAGAATGCAAAGTATAAGACACAGCTTAAACGGTCCAAGAACAGAAATGAAGATTTTAACAATATAGAGATGAAACCTCATGTTCCAATTACACAACTTTCTGCTTGTATTTTCCAATCCATCACTCTTCACCATCTTTGGTTAGCTCCATTCTTGATGAAATGTCCTAAAACAACAATAGAATCTTTCGGTATTTTCTTTGCCAAAACACAAAATTAGTGGCGCAGTCATTAAACATTCGTCTATAGTGCGTAAGATTGGCAAATCGAATCAAAGTACCGTTTTTTTTTTTAATGGCAGTTATATAAAAACTGTATATATATATATAAAATATATATATAGATATTTATCTATATATATATATATATATATATATATATATATATATATATATATATAAAGAAATAAAGAAATAACCGTCATAAAAAAGTTTTTGATCTTGGCTGGATTTGAATCTGCAAACTCTTGCATGATTGGCAGACACACACACCAGCTATACCACTCACCAGGTGGTTTTAAAGGAGCAATATGTAATATTTGCATGTCAAGTCATCATTAAATGACCCGAATATTTCAAAAGGCGTTATTAAATCATACTCTTTTCGAATTCATCTTTAACTGATAACAGTAGTTCAGCCGAGATATTTGATTATCAAAATTAGTTTTACGACCCGTAAAAGTTGTTATTGTTTTGATTTTGATGTCCTACCCTCCGCCGTTTCGCCAATCAGGAAGTGTCATGTAAGTCCGTGATCGGGTTGCCAGAACTCCGCGCGGCTCATTAATCTCAGTGGTAAAATAACATGTAGCGCAGAACTAAAAAAGGTCTTGTTATGACTCTCAAATAATTAATGACAAAACAAAGACTAAAACGAGGATTTATATCGGGATGCCTTTGAACAATTGAGACAGCTGATAAGTTCACGTGTGATGCAGAATTTTCTAGTTTGACTCCGTTCTTCACAGTGTCTCTATTTGTGTGAATCGGTGGTCTAGTGGTCTAAACTGTGCACTTACGATGTAGGAACCCGGGTTCGATCCCAGGCTATGTCTTTTTGTATTTATTGCATGTTATCACATTCTATGACAGATTGCTCTAAAAACGGTAAAAGATGAAGGTCAAGACGTTTTTTTGCAGATTATAGCTTAATTGTAAAAATAATCATAAATCTGTGACATGACTGCGGTGGCTTGTAGACCACATGTACCCCAATTAAAATAATGTTAGTCTCTTTTTGATGTGGAACTTTTACATGTTTGTCTAAAAAATAGGGAATAAATAAAATTGAAAGGTGATATCCTCTTGAGCAAACCCTGATGTTGATACGCTGAAGAAATACGTTCCAACATCCATTCTTCCCACTCCTATTTTGGACATCAATTGCTTATTTATTTTGCATAAACTATGTATAATTACATTGCTTTTATTTTGTTTTAGTTTTTTATCTCAAATGTCCAAATAATAATAATAAAAAAACATTAATCAAAACATTCATTCAGCATTAGCACGGCTGTCATGGCAATGTGAATGGAGACGGACAAACAACTGATAAAATAATTCCCTGTGTTTGCTGCTGGATTTGGTGTGAATCTGGCAACCTGAGTCAGGGAGAGTGGGAGAGGACTACAAAATATTGACTGTGACTGCAGTACCACTTTTGGCCAGATTTTTACATATTGTTCTTTTAAGTAAAATTGTGTCTTGAGTGTTTTACACATAATTTAGTTTTACCCTAACGATGATGCAATATTAATCCTAATGCAAGATTACTATTGCAACAACACATAGCCATATGTATGAAATATATATTCATACATATTCAATTTGTATTTAATCTGACAACAAAAAAATAAAGACCAGACCTGGACTTGAACCAGGAACCTTCCGCATGAGAGACAGTTATAAACCAAGTGCACCACAGAAATACACATTTCTTCTGAATCTAAACCACATATAATACATGAAATTAAGTCTTTCAACAAATGTTAAATTTAATTTATTATAACTTAAACTACATTTTTCAAACAACTTATGGCACTTCTGACATTCTCCTTGAAGTGTTATGCCCAAGGACCCAACATCAGCAAACTGATACTGGTCACTGGGGATTTGAACTACCAACCATCAACACCGTAGACCTGTGCTTTTCCATCTGAGCCACTGGACCACTATCTCTAATACTGCTGCTTGTTGTCTTTTGTACAGGCTACTTTCAACTGTATTTGTTTTACACGCCATTTATTCCCCACATGCCATTTTAAACGCCATTTATTGCCCACATGCCGTATTAAACGCCATTTATTGTCCACATTCCATTTTAAACGCCATTTATTGTCCACATGCCGTTTTAAACGGCATTTGTTCCCCACATGCCGTTTTAAACGCCACTTGTTGTCCACATGCCGTTTTAAACGGCATTTATTCCCCACATGCCGTTTTAAACGCCACTTGTTGTCCACATGCCGCTTTACACGCCATTTATTCCCCACATGCCGTTTTAAACGCCACTTGTTGTCCACATGCCGCTTTAAACGCCACTTGTTGTCCACATGCCGTTTTAAACGCCACTTGTTGTCCACATGCCGCTTCACACGCCATTTATTCCCCACATGCCGTTTTAAACGCCACTTGTTGTCCACATGCTGTTTTAAACACCACTTGTTGTCCACATGCCGCTTTACACGCCATTTATTCCCCACATGCCGTTTTAAACGCCACTTGTTGTCCACATGCTGTTTTAAACGCCACTTGTTGTCCACATGCCGTTTTAAACGCCATTTATTGCCCACATGCCGCTTCACACGCCATTTATTCCCCACATGCCATTTAAACGGCATTTGTTGTCCACATGCCGTTTTAAACGCCATTTGTTGTGTACATGCCACTGATCAGCTGTGGCAGGTGCCGGTGCCACAAAAGGAGCCTGCCCTTTCTCCAAAACAATCATCAAAATGCTGTAGTCTCTGTAATCAGACACATGTGGGTTGTTCTTCATGCACTCTGGTTAATTTCTTGTTCATAAAAAGGTATTTCCATCGGCTGTTGACCTCAACTCAGCTGCGCTGTGTCCCCAGGGCGCTCCTCGCTCCTCCAGTCATTGAGGTTTGAGCTTTGATCCATTTTCGCTATTTATTCTCTCCTTGCAGCCCGGTACCAAATGACTTACATGCTGGTAGAAAATGACCACTAGGACTTAAATGACTGCTGTAACAGTGAAGAATTGTTTGTGCTCTTCACAAAAGATATACAGTTCCTTGCGAAAGTATTCAGCCCCCTTGAACCTTTAAACATTTCGCCACATTTCAGGCTTCAAACATAAAGATATAAAAATTAAATTTTTGGTCAAGAATCAACAAGTGGGACACAATCGTGAAGTGGAACAAAATGTTTTGGATAATTTAAACTTTTTTAACAAATAAACTGAAAAGTGGGGCGTGCAATATTATTCGCCCCCCTTGCGCTAATACTTTGTAGCGCCACCTTTCGCTGCAATTACAGCTGCAAGTCGCTTGGGGTATGTCTCTATCAGTTTTGCACATCGAGAGACTGGAATTCTTGCCCATTCTTCCTTGCAAAGCTCGAGCTCAGTGAGGTTGGATGGAGAGCGTTTGTGAACAGCAGTCTTCAGCTCTTTCCACAGATTCTCGATTGGATTCAGGTCTAGACTTTGACTTGGCCATTCTAACACCTGGATACGTCTATTTGTGAACCATTCCATTCTAGATTGGGCTTTATGTTTTGGATCATTGTCCTGTTGGAAGATAAATCTCCGTCCCAGTCTCAGGTCTTTTGCAGACTCCAACAGGTTTTCTTCCAGAATGGTCCTGTATTTGGCTCCATCCATCTTCCCATCAATTTTAGCCATCTTCCCTGTCTCTGCTGAAGAAAAGCAGGCCCAAACCATGATGCTGCCACCACCATGTTTGACAGTGGGGATGGTGTGTTCAGGGTGATGAGCTGTGTTGCTTTTACGCCAAACATATCGTTTGCATTGTGACAAAAAAGTTTGATTTTGGTTTCATCTGACCAGAGCACCTTCTTCCACATGTTTGGTTTGTCTCCCAGGTGGCTTGTGGCAAACTTTAAATGAGACTTTTTATGAGTATCTTTGAGAAATGGCTTTCTTCTTGCCACTCTTCCATAAAGGCCAGATTTGTGCAGTGCACGACTGATTGTTGTCCTATGGACAGACTCTCCCACCTCAGCTGTAGTTATCTGCGGTTCATCCAGAGTGATCATGGGCCTCTTGACTGCATCTCTGATCAGTCTTCTCCTTGTTTGAGATGAAAGTTTGGAGGGACGGCCAGGTCTTGGTAGATTTGCAGTGGTCTGATACTCCTTCCATTTCAATATAATTGCTTGCACAGTGCTCCTTGAGATGTTTAAAGCTTGGGAAATCTCCACAACAGTATCTCGGACCTGCCTGGTGTGTTCCTTTGTCTTCATGGTTCTGCCTGCGCTTTAAACAGAACCCTGAGACTATCAAAGAGCAGGTGCATTTATACGGAGACTTGATTACACACAGGTGCATTCTATTTATCATCATCAGTCATTTAGGACAACATTGGATCATTCAAAGATCCTCACTGAACTTCTGGAGTGAGTTTGCTGCACTGAAAGTAAAGGGGCCAAATAATATTGTTAAAAAAGTTTAAATTATCCAATAAATTTTGTTCCACTTCATGATTGTGTCCCACTTGTTGTTGATTCATGACAAAAAATTAAAATTGTATATCTTTATTTTTGAAGCCTGAAATGTGGCGAAATGTTGAAAGGTTCAAGGGGGCTGAATACTTTCTTAAGGCACTGTATTTTTGCCCATTGTCTCATACTTACAAGTATATACAAGATAATTGTAGTCTGCTAGTCAGTAAATGTTAGGACCATTACCTTCTTCATTATATTTAAATATAATAGTAAATCATTAAGGAATAAGATGTCTGTTTTGGAAGACACTTAACCCAACTTTGCCTGAAGCCCTATAAACCTGCTGGAGGATCAGTGCGGGGCTGGTGCCATGAGCATTCGGTGGCAGCTCGGATTGCCACCCCCCGACCCAGAAATGGATTAATAAAGAGGATGAAAATCAATTAATTAATATCTGTAATGTTTCCTTACATCATTCTTTAGGTCTTTGATAACTTTCCATTCCATCTAAACTAATGTACTTTTCCATCTCATAAAATTACACTGTGACTTCTGTTTTTAAGATGTGATGATTAATATTGACAATATAAATTTGAGATGTAGTTATTACATTGGATGATACGACTGAAAAGTAAATGTTGCCAGTTTCCTGATATTTGAACCAGGATGTGGCAACTATCTCCCTCTTCCATGTGTAAACATGTTGGATTTATGTTACACACATTATACTAAATAAATGCCTATTCATTCTGTAAACTTACGAAACTTAATATATGAATATGTTTCCATTACATTTTTCACTAATGCAGTTTATAAGGAGGTGTGATAGTTTTAAAAGGTTCATAAAGTCACTGTCAGAGGGTTGGATAAAAATTTATTTTATTTTTTGAGAAAATTAAACTTAAATAATGTACAGATGAAATTCAGATTCAAATATAAGACATTGTCAGTGTTTCAAGTTCAAAGATCCATCTTGTAACCAGAACTCTCACCATTGCTGAGCTTGACACACGTGAATTCATTCATTCATTTTCTCTCTCACAGACAAAAGGGCGATTGGCCATGCAGACCTCATCGTCCCAGCAGTCCTCTCCTGTTGGATGTAAATATGATCACGATCTGTGTTCAACTGAGAGCAGCTCATAATGACAGTCGTCAAAGACCTTTGAAGTTGATGATGGCGCAGTCCTGGTTTCCACCAGAGTTGTTGGGTTCTCCACGGCACCAGTTTCTAAAGACCACACGCTCGCTGTTAATCCAGAGCCAAACCCCGTTCTGGAAATCACAACATGGCCGACATGTTTAGTTTGTTCAACGTTGAATATGACCGAATGGGCACTGTGCACAAGAGCAGGCTAGCTCTCTGTTAGCACATTTATAGCTCACTGTTAGCTTACTATAAATCCATCGTAAGCTCACTGTTACCTTTTGTTAGGTCTTTGTTAGAACACTGATTTCTCATTATTGCTCACGGTTAGCTTGCCGTTAGTCCATGGATATATCTTTGTTTGCTCACCGTTAGCTCGTTGTAGTTTGAAAAGATCGCCGAAATGGCGGCCGGTTAATAATCGAAAATCACTACTTTGTGTTTTTATACCAAGATCATATTTGCACCAAGACAGAAATTATAATTATTATTATATTTGTAAAATATAATATCCACCAAATGGAAAAACTATACACCGTGAGAAACATGCAAACTCCACAGAAAAGCTTGTGACAGCAGCACAGGAATCAAACCTACCACTCGGTCACTGTACACACTGCTGAGTTTATATTTCGTTTCAAAGCTAATGCTAATGCTATTATTGAATCAAAATACCACAGTTTTAAGTAATCCACATATTACTTGTTGAATAGTCTTCACTTGAATTTCTATGATACGCACAGAGCTAGTGATGCTAACAGGGAGCAAGCTAGCTGTGCACAGACCGGTGTCACCGACGTATTGTGCATCGGAGAATCCAATCCATGTGTCCATTCTCGAGGAGAGGGTCCGCAGGAAATCATTTGTGTTTCTGTTGTGGATGACTGCCAGAGTTCCACCCAGCGACTGACAGAACATCTGGGTCATATAGATAGTCGCATTAATATCATTGTGTTAATTAAAAAGCGTGGAAGTCAGAGTTACCTGAGCATACGCCCATGACTTGGGAGTAGCTATAAATATGTAACTGCGGCCTCCGTAAGGACACCATGTTCCTGGATTACATAAGGCTCTTCTACCTGCATAATTATAACATTATTTGATTTGTATAATCGACAGTTTTTAACAATAATCCCACTTATATAATACAAAAAAGGAACTGTAATGGAATACAATTGACTGTTTTTTGGGATAATTAGAAAAACAATCAACATGTTATTTGACTTTAGGGGGCTGGAACTTGAAACCGCATTTTACATTTATTAAATCTGATACCAAAATGTGTTAAGATATTAGAATCATAATTTCAACAGCAGAATTGAAAACATGTTCTAAAATGGATTCCATTCTAAAATCAAAGAAGGTAGAGGAAAACGAACGATGCCCTCAGTACAGAGCGAGTGAGGAAAGAGGTGTATGGTCAGTGAGTGTTTGGGCTTGTGTGATTATGTGTGTTTCTTCTCTTGTTCAGATTCAGATTCAGATTATTTGCCATTTGCAGTAAAAACACCACATAGGAATACATTAGCAAAAGTCACCAGTGTGCACAGACAAATGCAGACATAAAACAACATTAAAAGACAAAAATAAAACAAATAAAACAGTAAACAAATGTCACTGTGAAACCGATCGACTAAAACAGTTTCAAAACAAGTGCAAATCATTGTCTTGTGCCATCAGCGGTAGTGTATTGTATTTGTTGAAAGTTACAGTATTTGTACTTATTTTCTAATTGTATTGTATCCCCTATGACTGTGAATGTGACAGGGGATTGGAATAATACACATTTGATTCATCCAATCCCTTTTCAAACGATGAATACTCAAAGGCTTCACGGAACAACAATAAATATGCATAACAAGCAGTAGGCCTTCCTGAATAGAAATATTTTAAGGTGCCGTTTCATGCTCCAAAGCATTCACAAATAAAAATGTGAATTCCACTGCAGGTTCAAGACAAGATTTTGTTTCAGTTTAGATGTGAAAATGGCAGATAAACTCACCTTTGGTCAGTGTCGTGACTGCAGCCAAGAGGAGACAAACAAGCAGCAGCTTCATTATGACTTTCTCGATTATAATTGTTTATCATCGGATATTGGATGAAGCTGTGTTTTAGAGCCTCCTGTCAGAGCTTTGGCCCCTTCAGTCTGATCGGGGCTCAGGACAGAGGTCTTTGGTAACACCCAGATCTAGTTACTTTCCCAGCGGACACAGGTACAGTTGAATTTGCCGCTTTTGGGCTTCGTGTTTGGAAGATAACACAAAATCTAACAGAAAAACGTCTTCACAATTATATTTCCCGAGCTCTTGAATATGTACTTGTTGTTTTCACTCACATTAGCATCTGTGGATAGACGCCTCAGTGCAAGCAGTGATCATAATAGGACTGGGTTTGACCTACTTCTCAGCCTGGACACAGGTACAGATCGCACTCTTGAGATTTACTGTGCGTAGAAATCACTGCAGCCTCGTCAGAACAGTTACGCAATGATTCAGGTATCAAGGGAGATGTTTGTACCAATTAAAAAAAGTACAACCATCTTCCATCTTTTTCAGAGAGGCAGAACTTCCGCAAAATCTTTAGAAAAATCGGAACACTTTGGAAATGGCTGTGGGGTGCATTCACACTTGTTGTTCTGGTTCACTTTAACTGGACCAGACTAAGTCCGGGTCTATGAATAATGCTTCGCAGAATTGTTTCAAAAGATGTCAAAAGTGACTAGTGGACTTTTTTGCCTCAGGTGAACCAGAATTGTGTGTATGCGTCCTAAATATTATTTTTTGTTTTCACATTCTACCATGTTATCAGTGGTGTGTGGAGGTACACTGGAGTACAGTTCTTTACATATGCTTGTATGTAGATTTTTAGGGTGTCCAGGATGCAGCATTTTCAAATCCACATACTCGAAATAGAGTTTGATGGCCCTGTAGATTCATCATGTCAAAAAAGATAAACCAAGCTAGTCATTTTTCAACATCTTTATTATAAAAGAGCAACATATATTATAATTAAGGCTAAAATTTCAACCAAGTCCACTTAAAAGATACATTTTCAGATGGCATTCAAGATTCAGCATTCAAAATAAGACCTAAAATATGTACATTGTTTTGATCCTAGGTTCATATGAAAAAATACATCAAAATCAAGTTCAACAATTAGAACCTAAAAAGTGACATTGTTTTGATGCTGTGTTAAAAAATTAAGATCAGTTTGAAACATCAATAGGTTGCGTTCATGAGATTGATAATGCTATTTTTAGTTAGAGGGCAGTTTTAGAGGAAATCATCATGTGTAGAATCCATAATCATTCAAATCCATTCAGCTGTCAGAAATCCTGTCTTCAGGGGTTCTCCAAAGGCACCAATTTCAGAAACAATTCCTTTTTGAGACCATATGAATGCAGCTAATTTCTACATTAGCCTAAACCACCAATTCATATTCGGTTTAAAGAATTTTCCCTGCTGTGAAATGTGCATTTGGAGGTAAGATGAAGCAACACTTTAATAGTTATGGTTATAAATGTGTAAATGAGAGGAGAGTAATAAACGTATCCTGAACTCCACACAAAGCAGGCAGGACTTCAGTACAGGGGTGATGTGCTCTCTTCTGATAGTTCTTGGTTATAGACTTGCTACAGGATTTTGAAACCACTACAAAACTTTTTTATAGATCTTTCATTTGCTAGCAATAACCACAGTCTCTGAAGTAACTACTGCACTTTAAGGCAGACAATTGCAACGTAAATGGAAAAAGGACGTTATGCAATCTGGATTTACAATGCCCTGAATTAGGAAATGTTGATCAAATTCTTTTTACCAATTTCCATTTTGTTTTTACGCAAGGCAAAATCATGTCGATCTTGATATTCCAGTGATATGAACCATGCACTATGTTAGCTGATTTCTTAAATGACACCACATTCTGCCTACCAAAATGGGTAGAATGTTGTGAAATCGCATGAACACAATCTATGCAAGAAATAAATGAAAAAAATATTGTCTACAGGGTGAGTTTTCTTTTGAATATGCAGTGACAATAATGAAGTGTAGTGAGAAGCACCGGGAAACGACATTCAATTCAAAATGATGTAAAAGTAACATTCAAAATCCAACCATTCAGTAAACAGTTACACACACTTACGCTTTCTATAGTTTTGCTGCTTGAGTGAGACTTTCTTTGATTTAACAGTTATATTTAAAGAAGATAATATCAAATTATTTTGTTTTGCTTCATCCTCACTACTATCAGAAACATCTGGTACAATGCTCCTGATTCAAACTCATTACACTGTTATGAATTATTTTCCCATTTCAGAATTCTATAACAAAAGTATTGATTTAAAAACGTCAAAAACGTTTAAAAAAAGTCAGATAAATTATAAATATTCCTTACAACATGGCTGCAATGTTTGAAGTAAAAATATCTGTTGGTACATGTAGAGAATTACTACATGCTGAGATTGTTTTCTAACTTTTATGCATCTTTATCCATATAATTTCTACTTAATTATATATTTAACATTCTTAAACATGAATCCCCAAAGTAAAAATAATGCATAGTATTTCTTGTTTACTGAAACTGTTCAACTTTTTTTCATAAATAACGCTTTCTCTGATATATGAGCTTTAATTATGTTTTATCGTTTACTCTTGAAATCACCAGACATTTTGGTCTGTTAGCTGCACCTGATTACATGTTGCTCCTCTCGTGTTATGTCAGATTAAAGCTGAGGTATGTAACTTTCAAACCACAAAAACATGAACTCTCACTCAAAAACAGTGACAAAGGGGGCTCTTTCTTCCCCAGATTTTGTTATGTTGTTTAAAGGAGACATATTGTGCTTGTGTCAGGTTGATAGTAATATATGTAGTTGTATTTTTTTTTTGCATAATTATTTATTTTAGCCATTATCAATTTATTCAAAGAAACCATAGTTTATTAGCTTATAAGTTGAAAGCTGTGGATCAGATTGACATAAACCCTGTACGGTTCTAATGTTAGTTTTCAATTAAGCCAAAATGTAAAATAATATAAAGAACAGTAGGGTGTATCAGTGAGAATGCTATGGTGTTTGAATTCATGTAAATAAAGTTTACTCAACAATCACTAAAGCAAATTATTGTTGTAATTGAAAAGAAAAAACCTTCATTATGGTCAAAAAGTCTGATATTTCACAATATATCCCCTTTAAATAACTATTATTGAATATCATTACATAGCTATTATTGAATATTATTAGTTCAAATTATTATGCGACACAATATGGCATTAAACTCCACCGAGATGTAAGCAGGTGTCGTCTCAGACCAGCGAGTGACCGACATGACATTTTGTATCTACTTTCCTTTTTGTATATTGCTTTTTCAACATACGTTCTTCAAAAAAACACACTAATGAATAACCACAAAACCGTGAATTATGAGACTCAAAATGAAAGGCTTTTTGTTTTAAAACAATCGTTAAGTCAAGCAGAAGAGACAGATACGAGCACATGCAGAATTTAAACATTCGCTTTTCAGACAATCTCCAAATGTACAAAAAGGCCTACAACTTTTACATTTGACTGTACAGGTACTGAACTAGGACTGAACCAGGACTGCACCAGGACTGAACCAGGACTGCACCAGGACTAAACCAGGACTGAACTACAGTACAAAATCAGAAAATATCTGAGGAATAAAAACCAGGCCTGAAGCAGGACAAAACAGAAAACCGGCCCAAAGAAGAACTGAATCCCGGAGGGCTGAATGAAATGGCACACACCCAACTGCCTTCTTCTGCTCCTCAAGGTCTTTGTGAAAGAACGTGACATCAACAAAGGTACATTTACAAATGCTATTTTTTACAATATTTAGCACATTTCCATCCTTTACTCCTAAATGATTTGGACTTTATTGGTCCTGTTCTAGTCCTGGTTTAGTTCAAGTGTGGATGCTTTGTTGTTTTGGTAAATTTGCATTTACCATTTGGTCTACACCAAGCCAGGACAATAGCTTCAACTCTGGCTGGAGGAAAAACAGAAATAAAACTCTCTGAATTGGACACAGTATAGTTCAAGTTTACAATACCATTCATAACAGCTGATGAAGTAGGTGTGAACGGTGAAAAACCACTTGTCTAAGATCTGCTTTCTAATATGTCACTTCTCTAAATGACAGACGCACAAATAGACAGAGCACTTATCGGCTTACGCACTTTCAAAAGGCATTTCAACCATTTACTCGTTCAAAAAATTTACCAAATGCTTCCGTTTCACTCACTCACCTTCACTCAACTCATTCTTCCTTTCCTGAAATGGTGATTGACAAACTCGCTCCTGCATAATGTTCAGTGTTCGTCTTGACATCACCAAATGACAAACAGTGTGTTTTGGCCGTGAGTGAAGAAGGGATCCAAGCGTCTCTACACTTTCACACGCCGCTTCAAGACATTTCGATCTTCACACATTTGCATTAATGTTAGATTCAGTTGTTCCATAAATTGTTGTGGAATATTTCAAAACTGAGCATATTCTGATCAGATGTGAGGACCAGGGGCTGTTAGAGGTGTCTCTCCTCAAGTGGAAGAGTTCAAGTATCTCTTGGTTTTGTTCACAGTGCAGTGATGCAGTCGCTGTTTGTGGTGAAGAAGAAGATGAGTCCAAAGGCAAATATCTCAATTTACGGGCCAATCGATGTTCCTATGGTCATGAGCTTTGCTGGCTGGTCGCTGACTTTGGGACTGGGAGCTCAGAGTAGACTTTTCATATTGAGAGGAGCCAGCTGAGGTGACTCTGGTGTCTGTTTCTAATGCTTCTTGGACTTCTTCCTGGAGAGGTGTTCTGTGCATGTCCCACCAGGCCCCAGGGAAGACTCAGAACAGGCCAGAGGGACTCTCAGCTGACACAGGATTCCTCCGAAAGTTTATTGGACGGAGATATGATAAGTAACATTGGTGTGCGTTAAACCAAAAAGTTCAAAATTATGCATAAAGGGCAGTTGTTAAAAGGGAATCGTTATCTTGAACTCCGAGAACGAATGGGCTTGAAATTTGACAATCTTCCAATTACTTTCGCTTCAAGCCTTTTTGCACAAGGGCTTTCAACATCTCTGTACGGACCCAAGTGCACATGAAGAGCAAGGAAGCAGGATAAAGCCCCTGCTAAAGATTTCAATTATTTCAACTAATTAAATAATTAAACCTCTTCATACGTCATTTTTGTCAGTTTTATGGGAAAACAGAATGGTTTGTGTTCTGGTTTGGTCACTGCAGGTATCGGTAGACTTTGAAGCAGTGGTTTCCAGAATCAGCGACCACCACGTGTCCATCAGAGGTGAGAGCCAGGCCTTGGGGTCCGTAAAGAGGGTCTGCTGACGTGTTTATGTACGACAGGAATGAACCAGAACCGTCGAAAACCTGGAATAGAGTAGAAAAAATGAGATGAAATTACTCACATGCAGTAATATCGCTTCTCATATGAACTACTCGAGCTGTGTTGCAATGATACAGTATGCCTTAATGTGTTAACAGAGATATACTATAGAAACTTCCTCATGATCAGCAGTGGTTGATTTAAATTGTTTAAATGAAATGTTTACATAGGACATAATATATATATTTATATGTATAAGTATGAACAGATAAATGGGCAGAGATAGATGGTAAGTGAAACGGACATTTGAGCAGACAAGCCCTAAAAATCAGAATCATGCAAGATATCTTTTTCTTCAGCTCTTTTTTTTCCTGCTCTTCAGTAGTAGTAGTAGTTAGTAGTCACTCTTACTTGTATTCTGCTGTTGCCCCAGTCGGCCACGATGATGTTTCCGTTCTGATCCACAGAGACTCCAGTGGGAGCGTTGAACTGACCGTTTCCTTCTCCATTCGATCCGAACTTTAGCACCAGCTCCCCCTCCAGAGTGAAGACCTGCACACACACGCACACGCAGACACACACACACGCAGACACACACACATACGCACGCACACACACACCATCTGGTACCTGCTGTCTTCTCAATGTAAGCTGCTCAGTTCATGACTCATTCTCTTAGAAACTGAAATTGTCCAAATGTAACCAGTATGTACAGTATGCTAATCCAAGGCTAATTAGCATACCTTAACTGAGTGGTTGTGGAAGTCAGTCACGATGATCTCATTGTTCTTGTTCACGGCGGCGAAATGAGGACCTGAGGAGTCAATGATAGTGATTATACAGACCTGACAGAGCTGTACGTGGACTTTTGCTGATAACAGACATTAACTGTTATCAGCAAAGAGAGTGATAGATATGATTCCCTTTCCCTCACCAGCGAACTGTTTGTCTCCGGTGCCACGAGAGCCAAATTTGGACACGAGCTTCCCACTGATCTGAAAGATGAAGACAGTGCAGGACTTGTTGTCGACCACGATCACGTGACCATTGTGATCAACCGCGACGCCTTTGGGTCCCATCAGACGCCCAGAGCCCAGCTTCGCCTGAAGAACGCAAAATACACAAAAGTCTGAATCAGCCCAAGAGCAATTGGTCAGTTGTATCATTACACAGCAAAATACTTTATAGAGCCATTACAAAATTGATAATACTGAGATTTAAAACGGAATTTGATTTTTTAAATAATCCCTGTGTCATTTAAAAGTTAAGTAATAAATCCAAAGAAAAGTAAGCTTTCTCATTATTGATGTTTTTATTGAACTAGGAAATGGTCTTCAAATGTTTTTCTCTGTAAATGATGAAATCAGCAGAAGGAATATGGATTTTAAAATGCCTTTTGCAAGAACAACACTCAAACAAATGTCCATCTCATGTGCTGGTGTAAAATTACGGAACTCTGTGGACAATGAATTTAAAACATGTTGAAATAAATTACAATTTAAGTTTAAATGTAAACAAAAAATTATCGAGTCCTATGTTAAATGAAGTGAGAAAAAGTATTGTATTGGTATTAGTTGTATGTGTTGTATTTTGACACAAAGCCATCTATGTTTATTGTCTTACTGTCATAAGATTGGGGTAGGGGTTTAAATAAGACTTGGTCTTCATCCTACTCCTGTTCTTTAAGTGACTGTAATGTTATATAAGAACAAATAAATGAATAAAAATGTATAAAATCTAGTGTTTGACTGGGCTTGACTGTTATTGTTTTAATGATAGGATAAATGTAAATACAAACTGGACAAAAGTGAGGATCCACATTTTGAGCCAAAAGAGTTCTTTGTGGACCTACCTTGTACTTCCCGTCACCGGAGAAGATGCTGACCCACTTGTTGTCGTAGTCTGCGATGATGATGTCTCCGCTCGGGTGAACCGCCACTCCAGTCGGCCTCTGCATTTGACCCGGAGAGCGGCCACGGACCCCGAACCGGCTCTGGAACTCGCCTGTCGAGGAGAAGATCTAACGCAAAGAAAGATAAAGACTAAATCAGAACCAGGGGATTTACATTTCAGCCCCTACCACTCAATTCATCTGCCTACAGGACAGAATACACAACTACTCCTACTACTACTAATGCTGGTACCTGGATGCACTGGTTGTTGCTGTCTGCGATCAGAATCCTGTCGTTGGATGAAGCCACTCCCTGAAGGTTTGTGAACTCTCCTTTGTTTCTACCTTTTGTTCCTAAAATTTAATAGAAAAATTATAAATTAGTTAGTAGTCTGTTAGGTCTTTAACCATTCAATTGGTGAATAAGTTGGAAGATGAAATACATGTCAATGAACCCGTTTTGGTTAGTTATGTCCTGGTTCAGAGCTGAAGCTGTAAGATACTAAATCTGGAGGATACTACGGAGTCATAGGATCAAAAATATATATTCTATTTAAAATTAAGTACAAGTTGGAGACATCATCTTTGATCACATTATTGAGAGTTTAACCCAAGAAACTGGATTTGCACTATCAGCAGATTCTATTCCTTGGCACATGTAAAGTGTAGTACCGATCTTGAAGATGAGATCGTCTTCTATTGGGTTCTGGTGTTTGCGTCGCGGAGTCCCCAAAGCGCTGCTGGCCCGTTTGGAGCCCTTCTTCTTCTGCCCAGGAGACTTTCCGCGCCTCTTGGTCCCATCGGAGGAGCCTGTGGACGGGGTGGCGTTGGCGGCTGAGTTGGTGGCAGTGGTGGTGGAAGGAGACACCTGGGGGACACAACACAAGCATGTGACATTCTGTGTTCATTTGTCTAACAAAGCTTTAAAAAGAAATATAGCAGACATGCAGACAGACAAACAGGCAGAGAGAAAACCAATCCCTAGTAAAAAACGTACCTCCATGGCAGAGGAAATGAACGGACACAAAGTCCATGTTTCACTTTTTAGTCTGACAGTCCCAAATCAGATCATAAACAAACTCAACATCCGTGTTTCAAGTAAGAAAGTTATTGATTGTTTTAGTCTTGAACATGCCGAACACGTAACATTTAACAACAGAAACCATGTCTGGAAACTAAAACACAAACTTGCACACTGGTGAAAACCAAATTGCTCATAAATAATAATAAACATTAAATAATAAATGCAGTAGTTGACGACATGAAGTCTAAAGAGGAAAACAAAACTATCTGATGCACAGGATTATGAGGAGAATTGGAAAACACACACACACATATCTCAAAGTACTCCTATTTTAACTATGCAGCTGAAAGAGAAGGGTATTGTGTGTGTCATGTAACAAAATTGCGTATATAAAACGCTGTAGCCATATACTCCCGCGATTCTTTTGCATCTGCTCGGCAGTAAAAGTCCTCAAACACACACACACACACACACACACACATGTACAGGTGCAGAGTGTCCTACCTCCACCTCGGAGGCTTTTCTCACGCTCAGTTTGAACGGACTGCCCTTGATGTGATGGTCGTAGAGGCGCAGGGCCAGAGAGAAGTCTCCTTCTTTGGGGACCGTGTACACAAACTCATACGTCCCGTTCTTGTGGTCCATAATCTCGCCGTCGACGATGCTGCCGTCCGGAGTGAACACCTGAAAGAATTTAAAATTGAGGATTCACCACTTTTTCTTTTACCATTTTTCCACCCAGTATTATAGATTTTTTATTTGTAGAAATTGACAAAGGCATTGCTATAAATGTTTTTAAACATCAAACACCTTCCTTACATGAATATTCCTAAGCATCCCATGTCCCCCTCCATCCATGATCTTGGGAATATGTCCTTTGGCATCCACATACTCTGAATCCCTGTAGACTCACCTCAGCCGACAGGATCGCGTTCCCGTTCTTACAGGCGCCTCCGGATTTGTCACGCGTCACTATGGTAACGCAGGCAGGGTGTCCCACGACGCACTGCTCCAGTCCAACCCCCATGGCCTCGCTCTGACTCGCCACAGCACTGCAACCACAGACAAGGAGAAAACATTTCTAATACTCAGGATAACAGTAGCAAGAAAAACATCCAATCTGTTGATGATCTAGCCTGGAATGTTTCACTGTGTGGCACTTCCTGTTGCTCAATAACAAAGCAAAATATATGAATAGAACTATTTTTAACTAATAAAAATAGATTAAAATAAATTAATAATCTAACTAGTTTCTTGCTCTCAAAGGGTTTTTGTTCTATTACTAGTTTTCAGCCTCTGTCACATCTTTAGATCAGCATTTTTCATTTTTCATATTTTAAACAGAAAATCAGCCCAAAGCGTTAAATAGTGATGCTATTTAACATGTTCTGGTTTGATTTGTTCATTTGTTTTGAATAAAGACTCTTTTTGTTGCGACAACCACTGCTATTATCAACCACTGCTCCTGACAGGTTTCCCTGTTGTGGTAAAATAATCACTATTTGACGCTTTGGGCTGAAAACTCATTGATTGGGCGAGAGTGGTGCTCTCTTTGTCACTTATCCTTCTAAAAAAGATGTGGTAAAAGCCAAAAATACATGAACTAGTTACTAATCACATGTCCATAGGTTCCATTTCTTTGTGGTTTAAAAGTTGGATGCCATAACTCATCTAGAGACTGGGAGGTTTTACCTGGTGGTGACGATGGTGCCCAAGTTGTGAATGGACTTGCGCAGCGCTTCGGTCTCCAGAATCAGGTCTAGTTGGTCGTTTTCCTCCAGATCTGAGCGGATGGTGAGGTGGGTGAACTTCTCCAGCTTGTGGCCCAGCTCCTGCTCCTCTGACAGGGTCGAGACAGAGGCTTCAGCAGCGGCAGCCTCCTCCACCGCAGCACTGAGGCCACACATGTCCTCCTCACAGGCGGCCAAACTCTGCAGCTGAGCCTCCAACACCTAAGTATGAAACACTGGGGTTAAAACCAGTCACAGATAATGGTGTGCTAAGTAACTGTAAGAAAGAATGTTGTCCTCTTGCTCGGCTTGGTCAGGATTACAGAGCTTAGTCAGTCCTGATTCAGCCCTTCTTCAGTCCTGTTTAAACCTTTTTAGTTCTGTTGCAGACCTGCCTCAGTCCTCCTTGAGCTCCTGCTTTAGCCCCTGCTTCAGACCATGCTTCAGACCCTGGTTCAGTCCTGCCTCAGTCCTCCTTCAGCCTCTGCTTCAGTCCCTGCTCCAATCCCTACTTTAGTCCTGGTTCAATCCTCTCTCAGTCCTGGTTTAGTCTCTGTTTCAGTCTTTGCTCAGCTCTTGCTTCAGTTCTGGTTCAGTCTGTGCTTCAGTCCTGGTTCAGTATGTGCTTCAACCCTCCTTCAGTCCTCCTTCAGTCCTCCTTCAGTCCCCCTTCAGTCCTCCTTCAGTCCTCCTTCAGTCCTCCTTTAGTCCTCCTTCAGTCCTCCTTCAGTCCTCCTTCAGTCCTCCTTTAGTCCTCCTTCAGTCCTCCTTCAGTTCTCCTTCAGTCCTCCTTTAGTCCTCCTTCAGTCCTCCTTCAGTTCTCCTTCAGTCCTCCTTTAGTCCTCCTTCAGTCCCCCAGTCCTCCTTTAGTCCTCCTTCAGTCCTCCTTCAGTCCTCCTTCAGTCCTCCTTCAGTCCTCCTTCAGTCCTCCTTCAGTCCCCCTTTAGTCCTCCTTCAGTCCCCCAGTCCTCCTTCAGTCCTGCTTCCCTTTCGTACCTTGTGCTTGAGTCCGTGCGTGACCTCCAGCTCCATCAGCAGAACACTCTTCCGGACGTCCAGCTGTCTGTGTAGATCCTCAAACGCTGACTGAATGTCCTCTTCCATCGCCGCTCTCTGATTGGTCAGCTGCTGCAGGATCTCTCTGACCTGGGCCAGCGCTTCTGACACCTGCGGACGCCTTTGCAAGACAACAAACAAACAAGATTACATTTCAGGAGACAGAAGCTAATTTTTAAGGCGTAGACCACATAAAGGTTGAAATGTGCATGTTCTGTGAATTTAAGGACAAAACTAATGCATCATAATTTTTCTTGAAGCTTGTTTTTTAGGCTCAGCTGAATGGTGGTACCTGGACTGAAGCGCGTGGAGTCCCTCTTGCAGCTGGTCTCTGGTCTGGTCCAGGCCCTGGTCCAGCTCCAGGAAGGGGTGGTCCCCATGCCCCTCACAGTCCTCACACAGAGGGCAGCGGCACGGCTGACAGAAGCGCTCACACACCTACAAATGCAGACGTGAGAGCGCTTTATAGTCAATGAAAAGTAAAATAGGATGATGTAAGTCAAGAGAAATGACCGGAATCAGAACTGTAGGCAAAGAGAAGTCTGAAGGTTTATAGAATCCACTCAATTTCAGCTCAACTCTGACGATATTTAGGGCACTGATTTACTACCATTTGGGTGCATTGAATTGAAGCCAACTCTGGTTCACTTGTGGAGGGATGTGAGACCAGTGTGCCTTGATCTGGCCAACCTTTTGAAACAGTTCTGTGTACGTTATGACTGGCACCTTTTGTTTCTGAAATGAGCTAAGGCCATTTGACCATTCTAATGATTAAAAACATCTGGAGACTGTGAACTGGGTCCTGTCTAGTATTTTTCCAACCGTCTCTTAGGGGAAATTAAAAATCGTATCTGATAAATACCACCAATTAGAATGTCAGGCTAGTAAATGTGGGTGCTGACTGGTCAATTATTTTGGATGATGTTCACAATCTGAATATTACGTTGCAAGTATCAGTGAACAGAAAAATCTCAAACTAGGAAATGGAGTATAGTGCACGAGTTGATGAGATGACAGTATATTTATTTTACCAAAAGTTGGAAAATCACTGACTCAGAGATGTCTGGTGTTTCATGGGCCTCAGTTGTGGAACAATCTCAGCAGAAAGATGAAAATATGTAATTCATTTTTGGATTTAAGTAAAAACTGTCACAGTCGATCCTGAACGGATACCGAACTGAATGATTTTGTTGAACTTGTTGAAATATGTTAATTTATTGAAATATGTTATGGTAACTTGAATTGTATCATGAACATGCAATGGGCGCACAAGTTTTTTTTACTTCTGCCCTAACAATAACTAACTAACTAAGTGCACGGGTTGCTTTGTTGTTATGTGAAAATCGCGTGGTGTGTTTTTTGTACTGGCATTAGGGAAATGTCAGTGGTATCTTGGTACTCGTAGGCCATCTTACACTGACCTTGCTGGGGTGGAGGGGGCAGCTGTTCTTGGACACAGCCTCCAGGACCGTGCACTCGTCGCTGCTGGAGTCTGGGGACTGCTGGGCATCCATGGATCCTGGGCCCTACACCTCACGGACCTCACAGGACTTTAGTTTGACTGAATGGAGAGACTGCTGTTCACCCATGTCCACGCTACCAACCCTTTCCCCAGTCATTTACAAAAACTAAAGTAGTGAGACTTGGGAACCGTGTTTGATGCATTAAGATCAATGGCACTTTTTCTTTTGTTATAAACAGATGTGTCGGTACGTTTTTGGCCATTCACAATTCAAGTAATTCCATTTGAATGTAATATTAGTAGTATTTATCCTGGTTTATTATTATATATTGTACATAGTTATTTGATGATCCAGTTTAATTAAGTTTTGTTTTTGGACCGCCATCTATCTTCATTCGGAGGCATTCTAAGCTTTCAAAATTGGAGAAAAATTTAATTGGATTGGAGTTCTTTAAGTCCGTTTCATTGGTTCAAGTTATCTGCAGCACCTGTAAGACAAAACACCAGGAATGAGATCAAACCAATGAGAAAAAGATTTCATATATTGATAATGTATTGCCGTAGAAGCGACTGTGATGGCTTTAAGTCTGGCATAATGTTTTACACCACATGTGTCAAAGTCAAGGCCCGCGGGCCAAATCCGGCCCGCGAATGAATTATCTATGGCCCCCGGGACATTGCCTACCATTGAGGCAATGTATTGACCCCTTAAGCTCGCTAGCCCCCGCCGGGAGCAAACGAGGAAAAAAGTACATCTGCTGGCAATAGCAGATGTATTTTGAACTTCATAAGCCACAAGCTATATGTCATTTTAAAGCTTATTTTCTCAGCTATATTTATATGTAAGTGTAAACGATATCAGACTTTGCATTAAAAAGATATAATGCATAATATGGGCACAAAACAAATTAGACTTTCCCCATCCATCCATCCTTTCCCCATCTCTCTTTCTCTCCGTAACTGTTCATTGAAGAAGAATATCCACTTGTATTTCCCAAAGTATAATCCATTCTTCAGATTTAATCAAAAAACGCCCCGAAAAGAGGTCCAGACTGCTCTTTTACATTTCACCAAGTTTGAGCTTTTTCTTTTTTTACTATTTTCATGTTCTCAGATGTCTATTACATCATGTACAGTATGAGGATTGGCTTTAGAGCATATTTTATCGAGCCAACAGGTGTCACCGGCACTGCCTCTGGATGTTGAGAAACATTGAACCAGTCCGGCCCTTGGCGCGTAGCAAACATTTTTATTTGGCCCTCTGATGTATTTGACTTTGACATGCCTGTTTTACACAATCATGTCATCTTTTTATGTGTGAATAGGACACGACACAGTTACTAAAAATAGACTTTAATGTCACTTTGGACACATCTCCAACGACTTTGTCCTTCTCCTCAATTGCATTGCAGTAGAAATTTTATTTCTGACTCTGACAAGACACAGTATAACCATAAAGATACACTACCAGAGCCCATTAGATTACAGGCCACCTTTAGAAATGCCACAGCTTTGAATTTAATACGTAAAACATGTCACTGTGTTATATAAACAGTTTATAAAAATGAATACAATGTTACACAGCAGTTTCAGTGCATTCTGTGTCAATACAAACCACTTCTAAAAATGTCAAATACCAGGATCATACCAGGACTCTTATGTTAACATTCGATGGAAACCCCTCCCCCTTGGCGGTGTCTGTTGCTGTAGAAACCTTTGAAGTTTGGTTTGGCCTACTTTCATTCATTCCACCAGATTTTGGTTTCCAATCTTGGATTTGTGGTGAGAATAAAAAGATTTGCTGGTTACATGTTACTGAAGAGGATTTTTTAGAAACTTCCTTTACTCAAGTTTATTGGAGAATTCCAATCCTCGTCTGTATATTAATGAATACTGCTTTAATCCCATTTTAGTCCATCTTTTGTCCTGTATAGTTTTCATCTGCCTTCTAGTCTTGCTTTAGACCCAGTCTTGTTTTAGACCTACTTTTTGATGACTATTTTTGTCCCGCTTTAGACCTGATTTAGTTGTCCTGAATTAGTGAAATGTTAGTTTTGCTTTAGTCCTGCTGTAGACTTGTTCAGCTCTTGCTTGATTCCTGCTTTAGACCTGTTTTAGTCTTGCTTCCTGCTGGTCTAGCTTTTATCCTGCTTTAGTCTTGTTCTTCTCTGGCTTTATTCCTGCTTTAGACCTGATTTAGTCTTGCTTTTACCCTGCTTTAGACCTGATTTAGTCTTACCTTACTTTTACCCTGCTTTAGACCTGTTCTAGCCTTGCTTTCATCCTGCTTTAGTCTTGTTCTACTCTGGCTTTATTCCTGCTTTAGACCGGTTTTAGTTTTGCTTATACCTTGCTTTAGACCTGTTCTAGTCTAGCTTTTGTCCTGCTTTATCGCTGGTTTAGACCTGCTTTGGACCGGTTCCTGCCTTGCTGCATAGAGCTTCAGACTTGCTTTATTTGTGCTTTAGTCTTGCTTAAGACCTAGTCCTGCTTCAGTCTCTGCTGTGTGGTGACGACGTTGTTAGCCCAGTGGATGCTAACAGGCCTGAGCTCTGATCCTAATCTCTTTTTTTAACACAACACAACATCCATTCATTCCCATTCCATGTCTCTTCACCATTCCCATTACATCCAGATATATATTCCCCCCGCTGATCCTTTTCCAAATCCTTTTACGCATGCCATCCTCCCATGCTGCAGCAATCCATTCTCCTCCAATCAGAATTAGCATTTTCATCTCAATTTTCCCCATAATCTGCCTGCAGATCTCTTACATGTGTGTAGAATGTGTAGATTTACCTGGTTCTGCAGTGTTTTCCCAGCATCCGTGTCAAGACCTGCTGTTTGGTGCCTGGTGCTGATGGGAGTGTGGGCGGGACGCAGAAGGGATGCAGGAGAGGGATGGGAGAGGGATGGGTGAAAGTGGGGGTAGCTGTGGTGGAAGAGACAGCAGCAGTATTGAGGGGGAGGGGCGGGACTTGGACCAGCGATGCGGCGCAGCGATTGGCTGAAACATCTGTCTGTAGAAGTGGAAATTATACAGCGTTCAACAGTCTGCTTAAAGGGGCAGTAGCGTGTGGGGAATAAGCTGTAATGTAATGTAAATGCTGGGAAGGAACGACCAAAGCTGTTCTCATGCACCTTATTTTCAAACCAAAAAATTGAATTGTATAAAATGTAACTATAACCGCTCTCAAAACAGTTTGGTTACAATTTGTTTTCCCATACATGTATTTTGGTCTTTGTCATATCTTTAGCGAGGACATTAAAACGGCTCTCACAAGTTTGCACAATACAGCATGTAGTGAATTCATTTGAGGCCACAATTTTACTTTTTTTGTTGGAAAAATGTAGTACACTACAACAATTATACCCCAGCTATAAAGGTGACTAACTTACTACTTCCTGTTACTGTTACTTTCCACCGAAGGCTCAACTTTGTGGTTATAATTTTCCCACAAGGGCTTCGCATTTTCCTCACAAAGAATCTGTGTGATTTGTCCCAACAGAAAGAGCATTATAAAAGTAAAATGTTGTGAACAAATCAGACCACTGTCTTTATCTTTTTAGACATCTTGAAAGAAGGAGCACAGTACGCCACTATTTGATGCCTTGGGCTGAGAACTGATTGGTTGAGGGTCGTCCTATAATTTTCACCTTTTTGTCTGAAAAAGCTGATCTATCTAAAGATGTGAGTGTGACAGACACCAAAATACATTAATGTGAAAACCAGTGCTAGAACAAAACTCTTTTGAGATTGAGGAACTGGTTCTAAGCCATAGTTTATTATTGTTGTGTTTTGAAAGTAGATTTTCCCCTGCTTTGAAGAGTTTTATTTCTTGTCATCTCATCTGGAAATAGTAAATACTGCAATTGGGTGGTACGGTGGGTACGGTGAGTGGGTAGCACTCTCGCTTCTCAGCTAGAAGGTCCTGGATTCAAATGAGTGGAGTTTGTATGTTTTTCCCATGTCTGTGCAGGTTTCCTCCGGGTGCTCCACTAAAAGCATGTACATTAGGTCTGGCGTGTGCCTCCTGTACGGGTGACCTCACTCCCATCTCTGTGTAAAGTGAGAGACAAATGTGCTTTGTGACTCTGGTCTGTGAAAGGCGCTATTTAAATAAAGATTACTTACTTATTCACTTAAAAATGTCCAGGATGTCACTTTATCTACTTTATTTATCCTGCAATATATGTATATAATTTATATAGAAATATGAATATTTACCTACTACTCTTATGAGGCATTTACAGCTACTTAAAGAGCATTTACACCTATATTTTGCGTGTTACTACTGTCCTGTATGCGCGCTGCAACATCGAAATGTGCCCACAGGGGGACGAAGGTTCTTATCTTATCTTTTTGTCCACGCACTACCCCTGAACACCACAGGAGGGCGCTGCTGCCGCCTATATAAACACTCCACATCATTTCACTTCCTCATTCACCGAACAGCGCTGGGATCGTCATGTTGCGTCTGTCTTCTCGCGGGTAAAAATAACAAACTTCTTACTTTTCCTCTTCCATATTTACTTTATTTTAGTCACAAAACTCTGAGGAACCCATTTAATTGTTTAATTGTGTCAGATGGTTTACGCATTTAGAGGATGGACACAGATTTCTGCGTAGGAACCATGTAGGAACACGCTTCACTCACATGTTTCAAGGCACGAGAAACTACACGTTTCCGAGGGTTTTAGTATCTTTAAACACATTTTATACATCTAATGCAAACATGTATAGAACAGTTTGCATCAAGCTTGTTTTAGCGCTCAAAGTTTTAGCTTTAGATTTGTCCAAGTACATGCAGAATGTCTTGTGTAATATATTATAACTAAGTCCTAGATGGAGTAGTTTCTTAACACTAATCTCTTACTGCTCATAGTTTTGTTTAAGGAACTGTATAAATGTTGCATCTGACTTTTCGTTTGTTTACAGAATGGAAAAATCAAGAGAACCAGTGTCCAGTCTTACCAGTTTTGACCCTGGTTAAAGGTGAGTAGATAATTTGGATAAAGCAATGATTACATTTAACATACGCTCAAGAGAAATGGCATTCTTTATTGGCCAGGGTGAAGTGTAGGATTTAATTAATCTATGAGTTATGCTTACATTCGCTGTGATGATTCGTTTATATCCCATTCGCAGTTTCCTCCGGAGGTCGAAAGGCCAAAGACGGTTTATTCCTTGGATGTCTGAGCGAAATGTTAACTTGACTTATTTAATTTTAAACTCATCAAAGCTTGTTTCTTGGACAAGCATAGAGTTGAATTCCATTTGTCACATGTGAAATACAACTAGGGACAGTTCTCACAAATGTCATTACTTTCAGATTTTGTGAATCGAAGCTCAACGGCTTCCATCAATCTTATCCAAAGTGTTGTCCAGGATCAGACGGACTGCAGTCTGCCCATTGTTGGAGCCGGACACGAGTGTGCAGGTAAAGCATCTAAGTGAATTGGAGACTAGTTGTAATCGTCATTTTTACTCAAAGCTGGGGTAGACAACTTTTAAAAAACTGATCCCACAAGTGACAAATACTTTTATTGAGCCCTGTAGCAGAAATTCAGGTGTCTAGTAGAAGTAAAAAAAATGCTTCCAAAAAGCCAATAGCGGTAATCGCAATAATCAGCAACAGCCCTTCAGGTCACAGCAGCAGAGATGGAAAAGGCTCTGGGTGGAGCAGGACTGGTCACAAGGTGGAGTAGCTGCTTGGTTCAGACCAATTTTCTCTGCTCTAGTCCAGTAAAATGACTAAATTAGCTTTTTTCAAAAAGTTGGCATTCCTCCAGTGGATTTTTGCCTGATCCGCTTTGTTCGGACCATGGACCGGGTCTGGACCAGTGCATGTGGCCTTCATTAAAAAGAAATGTTCAGGTTAGAACGAAATAAAAATGCATGTGAGGACTTTTAATAGAACAGAAGCAAAGGAGTTTTGATAATTATTTTCAAATGGTGGACCTCAGCGCTCAAGTGTTTTTAAAAGTGTTGCGGTTGTTTGACCTGGGACTTTTCGCTGTGATGATTCGTTTTTATTCCATTCGCAGTTTCCTCCGGAGGCCGAAAGGCTAAGGACGGTTTATTCCTTGGATGTCTGAGCGAATCCCAAGTCTAACCTTAAACCCAATTCTCCATAACATGTATATTATATATTTAGAGTGGACTGACTATAGTATTCCCATGAAATCAAGAGAATCATTTCTAGCTAGCTTTTGGACATGTTTGCCTTCAGCGTCAATGGAACGCTAGGATCTGTGAACCCAGATTTCTTAATCAAAAAGTTACTGAGCTTGTCTACTTTTCAATGTAGTTTAATGGGAGCAAAACTTTGTCTATGAGCACCTCCTTATTGAGCTCTAGGCATCACATATTTTCAATCAGGGCTTCAGCTGACTTAGTAAAACGGTTCTTTGTCATGGCGGAACATTCAAATGACTCGACACATGAACTGATGGTCGACACTAGATCATGTACGGAATCGGGACAAAACCCGGAAGTAACAATCCTTTTTTAAAATTGGTTTTAGACTAATAAGTCCTTAAATGGTGACTGGTTAAGTGTTAGGCATCTAATTAAGATGGTTAAGGTGGGTTGGTTATTTTATGGGAATGGCTGGTTAAGTTTAGGCATGAGTAGGTATTTTGTTATATTTACTTCCGCTTTCGTCCCGATTCTGTAAATGATCTAGTGCTGTCCGTGAACTGATCTGCTTTTGGACCCCCCTGGTTGTCTCCTGTCTAACGTGATTTCTTTACTTTCAGATTCTGTGCAGCGGCTCGTCACAGGTGAGCGTTTGATGTTTTTGGACAAACGTAACCAATATGTTTGCGTTTTTAAAAGTCCCTTGTTTGTTGGGTGTATGAAAGCTACCAATCTGGGATGTTTAGGCCAGATGCTGGAACATTGTTTAGTGATCCTAATGCCCCTGGAAAGTAGCTTCGCTGTGATGATTCATTTTTATTCCATTCGCAGTTTCCACCTGAGGCCAAAAGGCCAAAGACGGTTTATTCCTTGGATGTCTGAGCGAATTCTATGTTTAGCTTTAAATTGAATAGCAGATGGCTAAACGTTGACTCAGTATTAGAGACTGGCAATGATTTGAGGCCGGATTATTTCAATAAAGCCACATTTTTTTCTATGTACAGTAGCTTTATACAATCGCAACGCTTAAACAAGTTTGGATGTGGTCAATTTTTACTGGCTCAAAGCTGTAAAATGTTTTTCTTCCAGGTAATCCGCATCAAAGACTAAACCTCCCGTGAGTTCATGCTTGTTTTTGGTAAGAATCTTACACATTTCCAGTCTCTCTTGAATGAAACTTATGTTTTACATCATGTACTTTTAGTTGGATTCGCTGTGATGATTCATTTTTATTCCATTCGCAGTTTCCACCCGAGGTCGAAAGACCAAAGACGGTTTATTCCTTGGATGTCTGAGCGAATCTAGTTTAGCTTAATTGTTTTTGCCTTGATTATGTTCAGATGTGGTTATGCTTCCTCATACATTCTCAAATCTCTCAATTGTGGAAAAAACCATTTAATAATGTGGAGGTTCTTTCTCTCCAGAGCTTGGCCGGTGAGGGGAGGCACAGTCCTGACGGTGAGTTTATAATGAGATGTTGATTCGCTGTGATGACTATTGCTACCCATTCGTAGTTTCCTCTGGAGGTCAAACGACCTGTGACGGTTCTAATCTTCCTTGGATGTCTGAGCGAATCGTGTAGTGTTTTAAATGACTACAAGTGCCTCGTAAAATATTCAAAATCCAGATGGTCTTGTGTTTCAGGTTTCGCATTGAAGATTTGGAGCTATCCTGACGCATTTGCAAAGAATTCTGAAGTGCAAAACTCTGCGCTTATTTATATCCAAAGTTTGAATAAAGCTTATGTCCTGATTTGGCATTTTGTGTAATCAATAAAGATTAAAATTTATAAATGTTTTACTTATGGGTTATTTTAGCAGTCTTGTACTAAAACTGTCCAGTTATTGTTGGAGCATAACATAAGTGTCTTCTAGTGGTAAACTCTCATTACCAAAGTTTCCTGTCTGGCTGTCAAAATGACTAACCACTGGAAAATGTTAAACGTTAAGACACCAATAACACAAAACGCATAACTACACAGTTCTGTTTGACTAAATGTCTTAAGGACTTTCTTGAAAGCCTTCACACTTTGAGGGTTTCTGGGAGGGCATTCCAAAGCTGGGGGGGCTACTGCCTGAAAGGACCTGTCCCATGGTACCTGTAGAGGTCCAAACTGCAATCTTTAACTCTCAAATCTGTTAAACATTGTGCTGTCATCAGGGTAAATTGGTCTGCCATAAGTATAAACAAAAAAAAATCCCCGCGATCAGAGACTGGTCATATAGGGTGGTATCACGGTTAAGCATGCTTCAGTATTGCTGATCTGTCAAACGGGTCTTGGGGGCGGGTGCTGCCCTGGCATCAAACCCCAGACTTATCTCCCACGTCATCCGTACTTTTAATGAAATGTATTCGCAAATGGGCATGTAAAACCAGACAATTTGTGCACATTGTCTCTTGCAATTCTTTTTGAAAATCATTTTGATATTCTGATTTTAATGTAAAATTATAAGTGTTTACAAAGGGCGTGGTTTGTCCCTTCTCTCTCGCCGTCCGCTGCTCTCCGTGGCAGTCGCTGAGCTCTAGGCGGCTCTCCTCGGACTCATGTCGCCGCCGTCAGCCTCTCCTCCTCCGGGTAACTGAACCGAACCGGTGCCATGGCCGCCGTGCAACCGCAGGTACGACCCATGGTACATCCTTATGGTACCTCCAGAACCGCGGGTTGTTGGCGTCAAACCCGCAGCATTAGCGAATCTGAGCGGTCAATATTGTAACACATGGTTCCGTCTTTCCTTCATAATGTCGAATATTCTGCTTGTTTTGGTCGATCATCACGCACTGCTTTATATATTTAGTACATTTGGACATATTCAAGGTGTCATTTTGATAGTGCACGAATAACCTACATTAAGAGTCCTCGGAGAGTTACTATTTTTGTGATTTTTTTTTATTTTTTATCTAATTAGGACGACCTTCCTAAGATGATCCACCGGGAGAAATGGAGGTAAGAGCAGCTGAATTATAATATATTTCTTTTTCATTCCAGCCAGGTTATTATTGTTAAACGACTGCTTGATTTGTTTCTTTAAGACAGCTGTCAATATGAACCAAATCGAAAATATAACTAATGTTTTTATTTTCCTACCACACTTTTATATTAGCAAATCCATTTTCCTGTGTTGTTGCTTCAAGTTTTTGAAAGTTGGTAGAACCACGTTTGTGTGGTTCAGATCAGAGCAATGATTTAAAGACCTTATGACAGGTTTGATTTATTTAGAAATACAGTTTTAATACCATTTTATATTAGAAGAGAACTACTAAAGGTTTCAAAATCAGTTGTTGTTTTTTTTGTCTGATCCCCCCAAATCGAAATAACCCCATAGCAACGCCCTTAGAAACGAAAAAACTTCACAGCCCTTGGTGACGTCAGAACGGGTACGTTTCAACGCTGTAAGTTGTTTACAATTAAAAAAAAAAAAAAAAAAAAAAAAAAAAAGTTGTTTACAATTTGGTATTTGTTCTGTTTTCGCGGATATTCAAGATGACAAGGCCGTGTACAGCAAGTATAAAATAGCTACTAGAATGTCACACTTCGTTGTCACTGAGATAGTCCAGTGGTTGTGTCGATGGACTGTCAATCCAGATACTTGGGTTCAATTCCCACCTCGGACATTTTTTCACACTCAAAACGGCAATTTATGTGTAGTGAGCAATTGTCACCTGTAGAGGGCAGTATTGTGTTGGGCATCAGTGGAGAGAAGAGAGAAAAGGCAGTCCTGTGGCATAGATCCATGGTTTTCAATGCATGGGCGTAACCCGCTATGACGTCACACACAGGTTAGAGCATAGACAACTTAAATTCATGAAAAACACGTTCTTTTTATAAAATATAGGATTTTTTTTGCCGGAATCTCTTTCAAATTGACATTGTCATGCAATTTTGATATCCATTATTTTTTTTTAAAAAACCCGTCATAAGGTCTTTAAAGCCTCGCCACGTAATTAATAGTTACTTAATGTAACTTAAGTTCTACGAATAGGTGCGTAGTCCCTTAGGACTACGCTAGTGGGATATCACTCGTGACCCCCAGGTCACACGCCAGAGAGATCAAAATAATTTGCTCCAATCACCAGCCACCTTCCTCTATAAATGCCCCTGCACAAGGCCGCACCCCCTCTTGAACTCTGCCAAGCCGGGCTGGCCTGATGGGCTCGTAGCTAAGGGACTACGCACCTATTCGTAGAACTTAAGTTACATTAAGTAACTATTAATTCTACGTCATGGTGCTACGTCCCTTAGGACTACGCTAGTGGGACACAACGCGGAGGCCGTAGGAAAATGTACTCCCAGCAGGCCAGCGAAGGGTGATTGGAGCTCCGCCCGAGCAAGACCCTCACAAAGTGAGAGGACTCAGGGCAGAAGAAACAATGCGTGTTACAGGGCCACTCCTACCAAGGATACCCCCACGTAACACAGATATAGGTCATCCGTAGTCACAGGACGCCTCTCCCAAGGGCTCCTGACGTGGACTACCAGACCGACCAAAACACACATATATGTACCGCACCTGTAGGATGCCTCTCCCAAGAGCTCCTGAACCAGGGCGGAAAGTAAACCGAAGGCCCCCTCAGAGGAGAGGGACCTAACGGTCTAACTCAGTCCGCTGCACTCAGCACGGAATGGGCCACCGACCGGTCCGACACATCCAAAAGATAAGACCGGACGAAAGAGGAGGACGAAGCCCAAGAAGCCGCACGGCATACGTCCTCGACCGACACCCCCCTGAGAAGGGCCGTAGAGGCCGCCATCCCACGCGTGGAATGCGACCTGAAGCCCACCGGGAGGGCCAGACCCTGCGTCTGATACGCCCGCCGCACAGCCGTGGCAACCCAGTGCGCCAGCCGCTGAGCCGACAGCGGGGCGCCCCTGTTCTTGGGGCCCAGACACAGCTGGCCACCCAACCTGAATGACGACGTCATGGCCAGGTAATGCCTCAGCATTCTGACAGGACACAGAAGGTGCCGCCGCTCCTCCTCGGGGGAGGCATGCGGTGGCGGATAGAAAGCCCTAATCCTGATGACTCTCGACCTAAAGGCCGACGTGATGACCTTGGGGAGAAAAGCCGGATTGGGCCACAATACCACCATGCTGTCGCCCTCTCCAAGGACAGGCAAGACGCATGGACAGAGAGCGCACACAGTCGCCCGCCCTCTTAGCAGACGCCAACGCCAACAAGAGGGCCGTCTTAAAGCGACACACTCGGGACTCGCCTCCGCCGCCGGTTCAAAAGGTGGACCCGACAGCCCCCTAAGGACCACCCTGAGGTCCCAAACCGGGGCGTTCTCTGGAGCGGGGGCCTCCTCCTGCGTGCCCCCCGCAGAAAACGTTTAACCAACGGATGAGAGCGGGCTGTGAACCCCCCGAATCCGTTGTGACCCGAAGTAATGGCTGCCGCGAACACCGCCAAGGTGGCGACAGCCCTCCCCTTGTCAAAGAGCTCTTGTAGGAATCCCAGGACCCCCTCCAGCGGGCAACGCCTGGGATCCCAGGAACGAAAACCGCACCAGTCGCTAAAGAGCCTCCACCTCGTGGCGTAGGCCCTCACAGTGGACGGCGCCCTCGCCCCCTGAGTGGTCTCCACCACCGCAGGGGGAAGACCCAGGTCTACGAGGTTCCGCCTCTCAGCCTCCAACCCAGAGCCTGCGGCCGATTATCGGGCGTGAAAACAGGGCTCCTCCCCCCCTGGACTAGAGCCCCCGGCTCGTCCGGGAGGGCCCAGGGCTCCATCACCGCCATGCCCCTCAGGAAGGGGAACCACCGGGCATGCGGACTGTCCGGCGCCACCAGGATCACCGACCTCCTCTCCTGTTCGATCCTCCGCAGCAGGACCGGCAGGAGACGCACTGGTGGGGAACGCGTACAGCAGGCCCCCTGGCCAGGGGTAATGAGCCAGAGCGTCCACGTCTAAAGGCGGCTGGTCCGCGGCCCTTGAGGCGAACCAGGACGGGCACTGTGCGTTTCCTGCACTGGCGAAAAAAGGTCGACCACTGGACGGCCGAACCTCCGCCAGATCTCCGCAGCCACCCCTGGGGCCAGGCCCCACTCGTCTTGGAGTGGGCCCCCCCCCCTGGACATCCTGTCGGCCCCCACGTTCCGGACCCCCGGGACGTGGCGCGCCCTGAGAGACAGGAGGTGAAGCGCCGCCCACAGCAGCGTCACCTTTGCCATGCGATGGAGAGCGGGGGACCTGGTGCCCCCCTGCCTGTTCAGATAGGAGACCACTGTGGTGTTGTCTGAGCGCACCATCACGTGTCTCCCCTGCAGCTGAGGAGCAAAGTGCAGCAGTACCCTGTGCACTGCCTCCATCTCCAGCAGGTTGATGTGACGGGCTGAGTCCGACCAGCAGCCTCCTACAGAACTCTGGCCGAGGACCCCGCCCCATCCTTCGAGCGACGCGTCCGTGAACATCTCCACGTGAGACACGGCGCCGGCCAGAGTCACTCCGTCCCGTAGAAGACCCGGAGTGAGCCAGAACCTGATGTTCGATGCTGCCACTTGGGGAACCCAGATCAGCCTCCCCCCGTCCCGGGAGGGGTGAAGCCTGAGGCGTGAGAACCACCTCTGAAAATTCCTCATGTGGAGAAGGCCTAGCCGCACCACAGCATGAGCCGCTGCCATCATTCCCAGCAGGGACCTGAGGCGCCGAGCGGGGACTCTGGGGCCCGCCAGAACCTCCCCGGGCAGACGGGTAGTGTTCATCCGTCTGTCCACGGACCATGCAGCACGGAATGTCACAGAGTCTAGCTGCAGACCGAGATAGATCATGCGCTGAGCCGGTTGCAGCCTGCTTCTACGTCATGGTGCTACGTCCCCTAGCGGACTTCGCTAGTGGGATATCACGTGCACCTATTCGTAGAACTTAAGTTACAAAGGTAACTGTTCATTTTCTCCCTGTTCACCACAAGCCCAGGCGCTGTATGTGGGACAGGACCCAGTGCGTATGACTCACGGCCACTTCCCTGGATGAGGCCAGAATTAACCCGACGTCTATGTAGATTAAATTCTTACCCCTGCTCCACGGCGCGAGTGCGTAGCCCAAGGGGAAAACGACAGTACTCGTAATTCCTCTCTCCCACTGCGAAGCGCAGAACCTCCTGTGTTCCGGTACTATCGGCACGTGGAAGTACGCATCTGTCAGGTCTATGGAGGATATCCAATCTCCCTGCCTGACACACTCGAGGAGCTGCTTTGTGGGCAGCATCCGAAACTGCCGTTTGGAAATGCACTCGTTCAACACGCGCAGATCCAAAATGGGACGCACCCCGCCTGACTTCTTTGGCACTAAGAAGTAAGGGGAGTACAGCCCCCTGGTGGCGTCCTGCGGGTCTACCTCTACTGCTGCGCCTAGACTCAGCAGAGAGGAGACCTCCGCTTGCAGCGCCTCTAATGACCCCGTACCTGAGAGCGTGCTGCCCGTACGCCTCGGAATGGTGGTGGCTTCTGGGAGAATTGCAGTGCGCAACCCCTGCGCAATGTTCTCTCCAGCCATAGATATGTCAGCCATCTTTGCTCCCTCCAGATGCTGTAGAAGTCTGTGAGGAGCGGAACGGGAGCTGGAACACGAGACGTCACGGCCCCGCCCTCTCCTGGTGTTCCTAGCAGGGAGGGGGGGTGGACGAAAGGGCCGGGGGGGCACCCTGCGTCACACCGTGAGCGCCGGGGGCGGTCACGTGTCCTGCAGGCCCGACGTCATAAGTACGGGACTGCTCATCCCACGTGACTCGGCTGCTGTGCCCCCCCCCCTGGCTCTTGCCTCATGGAGGGGGGGGCGAGCCCCTGGAGTGGGAAACCCCGTGTCAGCCTTGTAGCTCTGCTCACCACACGTGACTCGGCTGCTGTGCCCCCCCCTGGCTCTTGCCTCATGGAGGGGGGGGCGAGCCCCTGGAGTGGGAAACCCTGTGTTAGCCCTGTAGCTCAGAGATGCTAACACGCGTTCGGCCGAAGCACACACATATCACTCACCAGATCCCTCCGCCTGACCTCTCTCTGGGAGGGCATAGTATGGATCAGAGAAACCGGAGCTCGTAGTTCGCGTAGTGCACTGCACGCCCCTCTCTGGGGCTGCAGGCCTAGCGAAGCAACGTTATGTGCCCGGGAAGTAACACAATCAGAATTCACAATATTTGACATGTTACATACCCCCAAATCAGACTCAGAAAAGTAATGGAAATGCCGGTCGGCCTTTATTGAAGGAAAAATTTTTCCACCCCGGCCTCCTCTACCATAGGGAGGTCGGTGGTGGGTGCGTTGCTCCCGCGAGCCACCCATGGGTCTGTTTGGACCCGGGGGCCTCGTCAAGGGGGGACGATGGATAACAGAGCGCGGATACGGGTCAGGATGCCTCCCGGGCCAACGCTCTCTGCCTCTGTCCCGGCTCCTCGGTGCTAGGTGCAGGGCTAGCCTAGCCGAGTCTTTAGCTGCAGACTCCAGTCTCGCCACCCAGGCCTGCATGTCCGGGCCGAAGAGGGACATCTGAGAGGTGGGCAGGTCCAGCAGCTGCCTCCTCTCCGCCTCCCTGATATTAGCCAGCCCAAGCCAAAGGTGCCTGGTCCCGGCGATCCAAGATGGTGCCTGGCCCTAACCCTGTGACAGGAGGTCTCCACTGAGCGCCTGGTCAGAAGAGAGCAACATATCCAGGGCCCCCGTGATGAATGCCATGTAGTTAGTCAATGCGAGGACCTGTGCTGCAATGGCATAACATCTATCCGGCATCGCCAAGACATCCTGTCCCGCTCGGAGGGAAGGAGAGGTCTGGTGCCGGGCCACACGGATGCGGAGGGCTGCAGGGCCATGCGGACTGAATCCTCGATCACCGGTCCAGGACCAGTCCTGCCCGCTGCAGTATATGTCGTACCCCAGAGCAGGCCTCTTGGCTGCTAGGGGCTTAGGCCACTCACGTGTCGCGTAATGGACGAACGGGTCCATCCGCGGGCACGGGTTGCATCCTCCTCCTTCCTCGAGTGGTGGCACCCACAGAGGTGAAGTCCTCCACCGTCTGGATCCAGTGACGACGTCCGACGCCGGAGGGCGAAGGGAACTCGGGACGAACAAGGAAGACATCTCAGAATGAAGTAAGTACTGTGGTAGATCTCGAACGGCGCCAGAGTGAAAGAGGGGGTGCGGCCTTGTGCAGGGGCATTTATAGAGGAAGGTGGCTGGTGATTGGAGCAAATTATTTTGATCTCTCTGGCGTGTGACCTGGGGGTCACGAGTGATATCCCACTAGCGAAGTCCTAAGGGACGTAGCACCATGACGTAGAAGTTGATAACGCACGACTCCAAGGAAATGGAAAGTAAAACCACACTTGTTTATAATCATCACACTAAACTGTGGAAGGGAACTGTGTTGGAGGAACACATGTCTTTTTTTTCATTGCTTAAGAATGTAAAAAATTTAAGAAGCATGCCAACCAATAAAATGCAGTAAAATCTTTAGTCTAGGTCCGGCTAACTCATTTAAACTGTTCACATTTAAGTGCCCAAGCCCTGGTGAAGACTTGGCAGTGAATAACCTTTTAAAAAAAATTAAAACAGCATTATTTGTTTACATAAGCCTCACTTCCACCCTCTGATTGACGACAAAGGACTCAGTAGTTGTCAAATACTGTTGAAATCTGATCAAATTCAGTTGTTATGACAGATGTCTTATTATTACACAGGTCCATCCGCTCAAATATGAATTAATTCACAACAAAAGAGAAGAAAAGGTTTGTACAAACTAAAACAACATTCTGACATAAACGTGTTTGTTCTTCAGGGTGGAGCACGAGCGGCTGCACGCCAAGCACCGCGGGCACGAGGCCATGCACGCCGAGATGGTGATGATCCTCGTGGCCACTCTCGTCGTGGCTCAGATCGTCCTGGTGCAGTGGAAACAGCGCCACCACCGCTCCTACAATGTAACTACACTAACTAGTTTGTTTATTGGTCATTTTAACATGGGATTGAGAATATTCACAAGGATTTCATGTTATAATAACGAAATTGGAGACGATATAGCCCAGAACAGCTTCGTGAAACCATCTAAAATAGCAATGTTATGATTTGTTGGCTCCTCTGTGGGCGGCGACCTTTTTGCTTTAACTAATTACTGCCATTTTGTCGTGGCGTTTGTTGGAAACTGGGCAATGGCGTCATTAAAACTCTTAAATTCCTCTTTTTTGCTGGTTTTAAATCTTCTTTTTTGGGATCTTTTCAAAAAATTAATGAATGGCGTGCCCTTGTCTCCTTCTACCAAGCCCCGGCGATCCAAGATGGCGCCCTATTCAAATGAATGGTTGCGCTCAGTGGCGCTTTGTGACGGCATGGGGGCTGAAAGATTAGCGGAAGTTGCCTGGATCTCGCAAAGATCTTTGGGAAACTCGCCTGTATTTGGGCATCGTCTGGTCCTCCCGGTTCTGCGCAGTGGATGATCTCCCATAATGCGTTGCGCCAAACACGCGTGTGTGGGTCTCACACCGGGTCTCACGCACGTGCACAGAGGGGCTCGGCCGCGCTCTGACCAATCAGAGCAGTTCATCAGAGCGGGAGTTAGAGCGAGAGCCAGACGAGCAGAGTTTGTGGCAGTAAAGTGTGGATTTAAACAAAACCGAAGGATTTAAGAAGAAAAAAAGTTCAGGATGACAAGGGACACTAAAATCCCCACAAAATCCAACCTTTATGAAAGCTGTAGGTTCTCTGTCAGCTGAGGTTGAGCTGTTTTAATATGCATTGAGTCCTATGGGGAAAATTTCTGGGTATCCCACGTGAATTTAGTCTGGTTCAGTCTGCAGTACCGCGAGAATCCCCCGAGCACATGGGTTATTCAGCTACAAGCTAGTAATACCCTATCCAGTTAATATAATAGATCCATGCCTTCTACTCACTGTTTGGTGCACAATACTGCCCTCTACAGTTCGCCGTGATTGGTCAGAATCCGAAATGAGTCACTTCTACTAATATACTATTAGATCGCCGGGGCTTGATTTTATAGGGCATTCTCAAATATAAACCTAAAACCATATTCAACATATATGATAGCTGCGCCCTTGACAGTGAACTCTCTTTCTGGGGCGGCACGGTGGCTGAGTGGATAGCACTCTCGCCTCTCAGCAAGAAGGTCCTGGGTTCGAATCCCGGCCGGACCAGGGCCTTTCTGAGTGGAGTTTGCATGTTCTCCCCGTGTCTGCGTAGGTTTCCTCCGGGTACTCCGGTTTCCCCTACCACTAAAAATATGTCCAATAGTTCTGGCATGCGCCTCCTGTACTGGCCCCGCTCCCATCTCTGTGTGGAGTGAGAGACAAATGCCCAAAATTAACAATTGTAAACCGCTTTGAGACTCAGATCTGCAGTGAAAAGGCGGTATATAAATACAAACTTACTTACTCTCTGCTTCTTCTGCCTCGGGCCTCTGCGGTGGTGGAGATTTTCCACAGAGAGTCTTGGAAAGGAAATGGATAAAACGGCTCCTGTGTCTTTTAAAGGGAAAAATTAAGCATTATAATTAAAAAATGTATGACCTTTTTATAATTGGGGCATTTATGCGCATTGAGATAATGTGACAATTTAAGATGACGGAAATTTTAGAATTATTAAGTAAATGACAATTTTAGTGACGCAGGATCAAAGTCAGGCATTGGCAAAATTTTCCTACTAAGGGTCAAGTTAGAACATCAGGCTTCATTTTAAGAGCAGATCCCTGAAGCTAAGCAGGGTGGGACCTGGTGAGTACTGTGATGGGAGACCTCTGTGAAAACCAGGTGCCACAGTGAGGCGGCTGTAAAGTGTCAAAGTGTCATTGTGTCATTAGGCAAGAAACTTCACCCACATTGCCTAAAGTGTGTGTGTGATCCTTTGGTGGTGGTTGGAGGGGCTGATGGCACATACAGGTGGCCTTGTTTCTGTCAGTGTGCCCCAGGGCAGCTGTGGCTATGATAGAAGTTTTTCAGCACAGTGTATGGAGTGAGAGAATGATGACTGCATCATCATCACGACCATCCTGATATACAGACCATGCTCTGAACACTTTTACTAATAAGCATTCATGAACAACTCACAATCAAAAAGGATCAACACAAATTTCGAATGTCAGATTGTTTCACATTATCTTGTTTCTATTCGCAGTTGGTGACGCTGATCCAGATGTGGGTGGTGCCTGTTTACTTCACGGTCAAACTGTTCTGGTGGAGGTTTCTGTCCATGTGGGGAATGTTCTCCGTCATCACCAGCTACGTCATCTTCAGAGCCACTCGCAAACCGCTGTCCTGCCGCACGCCCAGGTCCGCCCCAAACACACACACGCGCACACACACAAACACGCACACGCCTCCATCCCAGTACAGACCAGAACAAGATCTGACTGGTGCACAAATCAAGGCATTTGAAACAAAAATTGGATCTGAATAAATAGCCTTGTTTTAATGCAAATTTAATGCTGCTCATTGACAATATAGACTTTCTGGACTATAAGCAACACCACCTACATTTGAAATGTCTTTCTTTTTTTACCATATAGACCTCACAGGTTTTCATGTTGGAATGTAGCAGATAGACGACTGTTTTAGCTGGTTACAACATGATTTTTTGAGCAGGTGTTTTAACATTTTAACCGTTAGCTTCTATGTGGCACTCATTCACCTTCATTTTTTTATTTTTTATTTTATTTTATTTGTTCACCAACATTAGTTAAACCCACATATTTTACACTTAGACATGTAGGTTTGTGAAGGGACTCTCATGAAGCACAACTTGGCTTATTACATTTAAGCCAAGTTGTGCTTCATGGATTATACTGTATGTCATCTATTTTGACAATAAACAAGGCTTCTATAGCTACTAAAACAGGATGGAGTCAAAACTATAAGTCCATAAACTCTGCTCCAACAATTCAGACACAAGGTGCACACGGCTCATGAGGATAAAGCAGGAAATACACATCAAAAAGAAATAGAAGCGCTCGAGAACCTCTGTGCTCCAGGTGCTGAGGGTCTTTGCCAAACAGAAGTGAGGCCGAGGTGATCAGATCGGCACATTTTGCAAGAGGCCGATCAATGATTGGTGCAACTCAACATTAATCCATATTTAGAATGTTTTTTCACTTTTCTGTTTGTTTAGTATCTAAGTAATTGGGTAACTTTAGTGACTTTCCCTGCGCCTGCTACATTCTGCTCGGCTAACACTAACCTACAGCTCCTCTGCTCTAGGATGGTGTATAAATGGTTCCTGTTGATTTACAAGCTGAGTTACGCTGTGGGAGTCCTGGGATATATGGCCATAATGTTCACCATGTTCGGCTTCAACATCTTCTTCAGGTGAGCCTAAAGCGGAGCCCCGTCCCGTTCTCATTCTCAAACCCCAGTTACGTTTTGCGGTTTCGAAAAATGCGCTACGGTTTCAGGATAAAGGCGGAGGACTCCATGGACGTGGGGGTGATCCTGCTTTTCTACGGTCTGTACTACGGAGTCATGGGCCGGGACTTCGCCGAGATCTGCTCCGACTACATGGCCTCCACCATCGGGGTAAGAGCAAGCCAGACTCGAGTTTACATGACTGGATCTAAAAGTGTAACTGCTGCTGAATGGGACTTCTTTATCAGAATCAGAATCAGAATCAGAATCATTTTTATTGCCACGTAAGTAACAGGAGGTCACAGACTAGGAAATTGCTTTGGCTCAGTGCAACAGTCAAAAAGAGATAATAAAAATAAGAATAAAAAACTTCTAAAGAATAAGTTTAAATTTAAAATAGAGTTACAGTTACTATTTACAATATACAAGTGCACATGGTGCACACAATGTAAGGTGACAGCAGTACAGTGAAGTAAAGTGACGTATGATGGGCAGTAAAGTGACTTTATAAAGGGCGGGGGGACAGGTTAAGAAGTGTTCAAGAGTCCAACAGCAGAGGGGAAGAAACTGTTCTTGTGGCGGGAGGTTCTAGTCCTGATGGACCGCAGCCTCCTGCCTGAGGGGAGTGGTTGGAATAGTCCATGTGCAGGGTGAGAGGGGTCGGCTGTTATACGACCAGCCCGGCCTCGAGCTCGGGCGACGTACAGGTCCTGCAGCGATGGAAGGCTGCGGCCGATCACTTCCTCTGCAGAGCGCACAATGCGCTGTAGTCTCTGTTTGTCCCTGACTGTGGCTCCAGCGAACCACGCGGTGACGGAGGAGGTGAGGATGGACTCGATGATGGCCGTGTAGAACTGCACCAACATCTGTGCAGGCAGCTTGGCTTTCCTGAGCTGCCGCATGAAGTACATCCTCTGCTGGGCCTTCTTATGGGTTTCTATACTTCAGCTAAAAGAGGACAGACTCTAATTTCACTGAACTATGGTCGCTGTATTTTCTGTTTAGGGGATAAGATAAGATAGACTTTATTGAACTCACACTGGAGACATTTTCATGTCACATTTGGCATGGATAGGATCACTCAGATTGTGCAAAAGACAGAAGTGTTCAAAACATGTTAAAGGTTAAAAATAGGCAAGGCAAGGCAAGTTTATTTGTATAGCACAATTCATACACAAGGCAACTCAAAGTGCTGAACAAGATAGCATTAAAATCATAAATAATTACAGAACATTAAAACGAAAGATAAAAATATAAAATCCCTCAGTTGTATGCACAGCTAAACAGCACCGTTTTTAACCTGGTTTTAAACATTGTCAGAGAGGAGGCCTGTCTCACATCTTCAGGAAGATTGTTCCAGATTTTAGCAGCATGAATCTGAAAAGCAGCCTCCCCATGTTTAGTTCTGACTCTGGGCACTAACAGGAGTCCAGTCCCTGTGCTCCTCAGAGTCCGGGCTGGTTCATATGGGACTAACATGTCACTAATATATTTTGGTGCGAGGCCATGGAGAGATTTGTACACAAGCAGAGCTGTTTTAAAGTCTATTCTCTGAGCCACAGGAAGCCAGTGCAGAGACCTGAGGACCGGACTAATATGGTCGTACTTCCTGGTTCTAGTCAGGACTCGAGCTGCTGCATTTTGAATGTACTGCAGCTGTTTTACAGCCTGTTTGGACAGACCTGTGAGCAGGCCATTGCAGTAGTCTAACCTACTGGAGACAAATGCATGGATAAGAATCTCCAAGTCTGCTTTAGACACTATGTTTTTGATCCTGGCAATGTTTTTTAGATGGTAAAAAGCTGCTGATGTTACTGATTTGATGTGGCTATTAAAATTTAAGTCTGAGTCCAGTATTACCCCTAGATTTCTGACCTTGTTTGAAGGTTTTAGGGAGAGAGACTGTAGGTGACAGATGACGCTCTCTCTTTGTTTCTGGGGACCAAAGACAATCATTTCAGTTTTGTCTGCGTTTAGCTGAAGGAAGTTGTTTTGCATCCACTCACTGATCTGTTGGATACAGTGAAGGAGTGAGTCCACTGGTCCATGTTCTCCTGCAGTCAGTGAGACATAGATCTGAGTGTCGTCTGCATAGTTATGATAGGAAACTTCGTTTCTGCGTATTAACTGACCTAACGGCAGCATGTAGAGATTGAACAGAAGAGGTCCCAGGATCGACCCCTGTGGGACTCCACAGGTCAGGGCCATATGATCTGAGACACAGTTTCCAATCTCCACAAAGTACTTCCTGTCTTCAAGGTAAGACCTAAACCAACTTAGGGCGGTGCCAGCGACGCCAACCCAGTCCTCTAGTCTCTGTAAGAGGATCTCATGGTCGACAGTATCAAAGGCAGCACTTAGATCTAACAGGATTAGGATTGAGACTTTGCCTGCGTCAGTGTTCAGCCGGATATCGTTTGTAACCTTAACGAGAGCAGTCTCAGTGCTGTGGTGGGGTCTAAAGCCGGACTGAAACATATCAAATGAGTTGTTGATTATAAGAAATCTAGTAAGCTGTAGGTAGACAACTTTCTCAAGGACTTTCCCCATAAATGGCAGATTTGAGATGGGACGATAGTTGTTAAGTACCGTAGCATCCAGACTGCTCTTTTTTAGCAGGGGCCTGATGACTGCAGTTTGCAGGGCCTTTGGGAATATTCCAGAATCAAGGGACATGTTTACTATCTGTGTGAGTGAAGGTAACAGACTGCTCAGAACAGACTTTAGAAATCTAGTGGGTAGTACATCCAGGCTGCATGTGGAGGAGCTCAAACTGGAGATTATCTCTTGGACAGTTTGATCATTTACAGGTGCAAAGTAAGTTAGCTCAAAGAGCCTTTCTGGCTGTTGGATTGTTATCTGTGGATTGGAGACAATGGCGTTTTTGATGCCTTGAACCTTGTCATTGAAAAAATGTGCAAACTCATTACATTTACGTTTGGAAGTTAGCTCTAATGGCATTTGAACAGGGGGGTTTGTTAATCTATTAACTGTTGAAAACAGAACACGCAGATTGTTGCTGCAGCCTTCAATCATTTCAGAAAAATACCTTTCTCTTGTACTACGTAGCACCTGGTTAAACTCGCACAACTTATCTTTGAAGATCTTGTAATCAACCTGGAGGTTGGACTTGCGCCACTTCCGCTCGGCCCTCCGGCACTCTCTCTTTTGTGCTCTGACCGAGTCTGCTTTAGCCCACGGCGCCTTCTGCTTATTTTTCACTATTTTAACCTTCACAGGAGCGATGGTGTCCAGAACTTTCAAAACACTAGAGGTGACAGAGTTAAACAGTTCATCTACAGTAGAATACGATGCATTCTCAAAGTTTATCATTCCCATAAATAGTTCACCCGTATTTTCATTTATGTGTCTTCTTCGTACAGTTGCAGAGTCCACTGGTGGTTTGTTAGTGAAACACATGTCAAAAAATATACAAAAATGATCCGAAAGCGCAACATCGACCACGTTTACATTATAAATGTTCGCCCCCTTTGTAACTAACAGGTCTAGAGTGTGCCCTCTGCTGTGGGTGGGGCCACTCACGTGCTGAGTGAGACCAAAAGATTCAAGAAGAGAACTCAGCTCTTTAGCATTTCTGTCATCAACATTATCCACATGAATATTAAAATCACCTGTAATAACTAAACTATCAAAATCTGTGCATACAACTGAAAGCCACTCTGTAAAATTATCAATAAAACTGTGACATGACTGCGGTGGCTTGTATAGGACAACGAAAAGTATTGGAGGAGATTGTTTTTGTTGTATTTTAAAAGACACATATTCAAAAGACGGAAACTTCCCAAGAGACATTCTATGGGAGACAAAGTGGTCTCTGAAAATGGCAGCTAAGCCTCCTCCTTTTTTGTTTTCCCGTATTTCAGATTCAAATTTGAAATTTGGTGGTGATGCTTCTATTAAAACTGCATTTTCTGTATTTTGGTCAAGCCATGTTTCAGCCATGAACATAAGATCTAGATTATAAGAACAAATAAAATTATTGATTAAAAAAGACTTGTTACAAAGAGATCTGACATTTAGCATAGCAAGTTTCAAAGTTTCAGGATCAGCGGTTGTGGTCGGCTGATTCTTACACGGAACAAGAATTAGATTTTCCTGATTAGACTGATTAACTCCAGATGTTTTTCTGTTATGTATTCTTTGTGTTATCACTAAGGGAATGGCACAGGTGGCTTCACGACAGGGCCCCAGCCGGGTCTCTCCTCTAACTAGACTGCCAGTGGCTGCGAAGCAGAGACCCTGTGCATCCTAGTGTTTAGAGAAAAGAGGGGTAGGGGAAGGCGGGGGAGGAGGATGGAGAGGCGGGTGGTTCTTGGGAGTTGGACGGGGAGGGGTTGAAGGTGGATGGGTTTTTGGTGATGGGTTAGGGGAGGGGCCGGCTGAGTTGGGTGGTGGACGAGGGGGGAGTGGAGGTGGAGGGTTTCTTGGTGCTGAGTTAGGGGGGGGGGGAGGGGGGCTAAATGAGCAGGAGGGGGGGGTGAAATACTTATGGGGTTAGAGGAGGGACGGGTGGATTTTGTGGGAGAATTTGAGTTGGACGCCCTAGGTGGCTTTGGAGGTACGTATGGGGAGTAGTTTTGAATGTTAGATAGGACTCTTGATCTGGCTACAGTGGGTGTGAGAGGAATAGTCTTCATCGCCGATCTTATCATGCCTGCAGAGTGTTCCGGTAAATCCAGTAGTGAAGGCGGGGATAGAAAACAAAGGGAAAGGTCGTCCTCATTTTCCCTAGATGGAGTGGATGTAGCGGGGGGGACCCAAGCCGGGTCCATGGAAGGTGATGAGGGAGTCTTTGGTGGAGACAGAGGTGGTTGAGGAACCCCCAGTACAGGCCTGACTGTAGCCTGGAGTAATGGGGGAAGCTTCACGGGAGCTGTAGGTGGGGAAGGTGCTGCTGAAGATGATGGAGCAGCCACTGCTGCTGCTGAAGATGATGGAGCAGCCACTGCTGCTGCTGTATCCACTGCTGCTGCTGAAGATGATGGAGCAGCCACTGCTGCTGCTGAAGATGATGGAGCAGCCACTGCTGCGGCTGTATCCACTGCTGCTGGTGGTGCTGTATATGCTGATGGCGCTGATGAAGATGTGGCAGCTGCTGATGATGCTGGGGGTGGAGGCGTTGAGCTCTTTCGAAGCCGTGGAGGTGTTGAGTTCTTTTGGAACCTTGGAGGTGTTGAGTTCTTCTTGAATCGTGGAGGTGTGGAGTTCTTTTGAGGCGGTGGGGGTGCAGAGACCTCGGGAGTCGGTGGAGATGGTCGTGATGTCTGTGCCCTTTGCTTCTTCTTTCTCCCTTTCAACGGCTGCACGCGCTGCGCAGGCTGAGGTCTTAGGGCAGATGCAAAGTTATCCATCAGCACTTTTACTCCGTAGTTGTTCAGATGTGGGCCTTTTTCTTCAAAAAGCTCGTGCCTATTCCAGAACAGATTAAAGTTTTCAATGAAGCCAAGTCCTCTGCGTGAACACTCATTGAGTAGAAATGTATTTAGCTGATACAGACGGCTAAACTTCTCCATTTTTCCATCTATATTTGGCAGTGGGCCACTAAGAAAAATTGTTATGTCCATTTTCTTGAGGTCATCCAGTAACAGCGTTAAATCCATTCGTAACTTCTCGCTTGCCTTCTCATAGATATCTACCGCCCCCGTGTGGATCAATAATGTACGCACACCACTGTTCTCAGATAACACTCTAGGCAGAAGAGTTCTTATCTCAGCAACTTTAGCAGAGTGAACTGAGACAGTGAGCATGGACTCCATGTTTACATTTTTCACCGAGCCATCTCCGATAAGGATACAGTTTGTCCTTGGTGGAGGCGCTGCAGTTTTTAGCAGCTTTGTTGTTTCAGAAAGGGGTAAAAAGCGGTTTGAAGTCTTCAGAACATTTAGATGTGGCCTTATTTCACTCCTATTGTCATTCTTAGCTTTGTCAACTTTGGGTTTGGCTCCACAATTGTTCCAATAATTCTCATTGTTGATTTTGGGAAAAGAAATGACGTCATAACTTACATTTCCAGTCTGTCCATTCATCCCATTTTCACTCATTGGAAGAGTCCGGTGGAACACTGCTGTATCGCCACAATAGAACAGATATGCACTCCCAGGCCAGACCTGAAAGAGGTGCCTCTGACTAATCCTGACTTGATTTTTTTTATATACAGACGGAGCCGCGTCACGTTCAACACTGGGAAGAACCGAGTCGGCTCCCTATAGACTCTGGTAATTTGCCCCACTACTCAGTTTCCACAATAACTGTTAACCTATTCTGTGATCCGCTATGGTTTCTCTGTGGTGCACGACTGAAAGCATGTGGAAACACCGCAATTTTATGAAATCTGATGGTAAACCAATTTTAATTCCACACAGGTTGAACGTCTGCTGAAAGCTGTAATGTGGCCCTTAGAGATCGCTGTATGCAAATGCCAGGCCCACACTAATGCCACTGATCCCATCTCTGCAGGGAATCGGCGCGCGGACAAGGCAGCGGCATACGCACCTCTACACACACACACACACTACCTCACTCAAGACGTTGATATTTTCTACTCCAGCAGAGACGCTGCTGTGGGAGGGGAATGGGGCTCAACGACGGCATGGTGTGTGTGGCTGGGACCAGACAGCAAACCGTGCCTACCACGGCATTTCTTCAGACAGTTTGCAATTTTAGCACATGGTCGAGACCATGCCTCAAAAGGAGGGATGATGTGTGATTTAATCACACAAAATTGGTATACAAAGGGGTTTACGGCATTTGCACAGAGATTCAGCCAAACATGCGCTATATGCCCCGCGCACAACCCAGGTAAGTCCCAAAAGTATCCAACAGGCTGCTCATCCTCCGCCCCTGCGCCCATTTCAACATGTCCAAAGGGACTTTGTTGAACTCACACCATGCCAAGGTAAGTAATACTGTCTGGGTCTGGCGGATCTCTGGTCCAAATGGACTGAAGTATTTGCAGGCATACACGCCACGAGCAACGCGGTGGTGAGTCACTTTGTAGCAAAAGTCATTGAGGAAGTGGGTGAATTTCTGGGCATTGATATACGTAAACACTGCAGTTACGCCCCCTGGTCCGGAGGCACGTGCGAGCGAGAGAATGGCACTCAAAGCTCTGCCGCTAGCCCCACGTTGGGCGCGGGACCCCCGAACAGAGATCTGCCAAGCACCTCTTTGTGTGATGACGACATGCTGTCCTATTGTAAGGAAATTAATGCACTTTTGTCCTCTATTTCTGCCCAGTCAGAGAGCGCCCTGCCACAGGCTGCGCAGGCGACTGGGTCCTGATGAGGAAACGAGACGAAAGCATTGGCGGTCCAAGCGCTGGCTCGGCCCATTCCTCGCCCTCCTGGTGACGGACAATGCCGTTAAGGTCGCGGAGAGGACAACTTGGATCCACGCCAACCACTGTCGTGCGGGGCTGCCACTGAGGGCCATAGACGAGGACACCGAGGGCGCGGACGGACCAGGCCCATCCGCGGCTCCCTACGCTGAAGAAGTTGGCCGGCGTGCGGCCACCGTCGGTGAAGCAGGCCAACAACAACACCCAGAGATTCCCAGCGTTCCCGAGGCGACCCCACCTTTTGCCCAACTCCCCAGCCCCCGACCCCAAGGCCTGGGAGCCATGAAGGCCCTGAGCGCTCTGCTCAGCCGCAGCAAGTATGCAGAGCTGCTGCTCATTCCAAAGATTTCTCCAGAGCCTGCTCCCTCTGGCCATAATGCAGATTGGAGCTCTGCTGGAGTGCCCCCTGGTGTCTCGTCTCCCGTGTGTCCGGAGGAGGTGGAGATGAGGGCTGCTCTACAGTTCCTGATGAGGCACATGGTGAAGCGTGCTGTCATGAGGTCTCCCATCAAACGAGCTTTGGGCCTGGCCGATCTGGAGCGTGCTCAAGCCATGGTCGCCACACCCCCAAACCCCGAGCACTCTGCCCAACCGAGTGCTGAGGCCGAGGCTTCAACGCAAATAGAGTCTTGCCGCTCCAAGACCAAACATCGCCATGACCACTAACGCTCCACACACGCTCATAGGGAGCGGTGCCACTGACTGCGAGACGGCACTGCTCGTGAGTATTCCCGCGGAAAAGACTACGAACGTAGACCGGCATGGGCCCTTGGACTGTTATGCTGGCCACACTGACACTACTTTCCGTGCTGACCGTGTTTATTATGTTAATATTGCCTTCTCTTATCGCTGTCCGGATCCATTGTGTTATTATAATGTGCTCTTTCTTTTATTGACAAGCATGTGTCTTTTCTTGTCCACTTTGGACAGCAATAATTTAAGTGTTTCAAGCTTGAAGGTGGTGTGATTACGATGCCTCTGGTATTTAACTGATTAATGCAAAAATGGTTTTGAATTATCAGAAGAGGGGAGTGTGGTGACAGTTTTTGGAGTAATTACATTAAAACCAGCCGCAGCAAATACACGGACGTCAAAGGCCTTTTATCAATGCAGACAACCTTCTGACGCCATGCTGAGCTTTGTGAAGGTCCCTGCTGTCTGTCACACCCTTGTGTCTTTCCGTCTTGCATCTGTATGACCTGCACTTCCACCATTGTCTGTCTGTTCACACCCCATGCCACTGCCACCACAGGGGATGGCGCCGGCGCTTCCTGTGCGCCTCCTCACCGGTGGCCCCCTCCGCTCCGTTGTGGGCGTGACTATCTTTGGTGTGTGTTTTGTATACAGGAAGCTGGGGGCTCTGGCCCCCAGAGCTGAGCATGCTGCCTTTGTGTGGATATGCTGACTCTCCGCACTGTGCGTTAACAATAAACTTACGCTTTTGATCAGACAAAGGACCTTTGAGTTTCCTCCTTCATGGGGTATATAATTCTATAACAGTATCACTTCTAAAAAAAAATCTAAAATATCTCTATCTAATAACTTCAACACTTCCAAAACGTTCGGGTCAGTACCATTTGTGCCTGAGCAAAGTCGCCGTACCTGAAGCTGGTGACATTGGGAGTTTCGGAAGCGTCCACCCAGATCTTGACTCCATTCAAAGGATGCTGGTCTTTGCCGGTTATAATGACTGCATTTATTTTGTAGTTTCGTCCCAGATCCACTTTCCACCACGGGTCGCTCTGTGCTGTGGTGGCAGAGCAGGAGCCCATGTCTGTGTCGATGGCTCTGGCAGCGGAGGCCAATGAAGTCGACTGAATGGCGTTACCAACTGGAGCCACGTTTATTATCCGAACGCCTTCAAAATATTATTGAAAAACATGGACGGATTTATCGACTTCTACTTCTCTACTTGAAAAAGATAAAAGAAGATGCACCATTTAAATGAGTAGTGGGATAGGGGGGCAGTGATCTGTACTGATAATTGATGATTACATATTTATCATAATAGAATTAGCTGTTTACAAACTGTTGATGTTTGTACCAATAAATATAAATAATTAAATACATAAATTAACTTGATTAACTAGTCAGAAAGATCTTCAAACTCGTGACATTTTCAAGGTCACAAAATAATTAGTTTTACACCTATTGTCAACAATGGATAAGTCTTGAATAATCTCAAATTGAAGTTATTTTTTATATAAATTTTGCTAAAATGCAATCATTCTAAAACTTCTGTATGTGCAAATATATTATCTGTCCTTGTTTCCATCACTCCCCAACTCTGTCTATAAAACCAGTTTACAAATCCATGCATGGATTTATTGAAGTCATATTTTATTTCCAAATAGAAACAAGGACAATTGTAAATAAATTACAAAAATGAGCCAAAAAACACATTCAAAAAGGTCAGAACTCACCATACACTGTGGTTAGAGTCAGCCAGAATCCTTTAAAGAACCAAACCATCTTTGATATAAAATACTGACTTGATTAATACCGACTTGATCTATAGACTTAACTCACCGTAAAGGAAGAGGAAGTCTTGAGCCATAGTTTGCAATGACTCCTTGTTCTGTCAGGGTACAGTCTGAGCAGCTGAGCAGATGTGTCCGTCTCATATCAGAAAACATGGAAATTTGAAATGTTTGCATCACACTTTACATGAAAGACAATACAACCAAACATGCATCTTATTAGCCACTCACAACCAAATTAGAGAATTAGAGAGCATGCAACTGGGAGTCCAAGCTGCAACTTCTATAAATAAAGCTTAAGACTGGACTTAACATTGATTTTGTTCAAGCCGCATTGGATAAGATGCATTTATCCCACGGTGTAATATTGCAATTTTTTTCTCAAAAACTTTTATTGTGTCTTATTTTTACTGTGAGTAATAAAAGTAAGGAAGAAGTGAGTCACTGACTGTTCTTAATCTTCCACTGGGAAGCAAAAGCATAAGAGCCACATCTACTGGTCTCTGTTCACTTTCATGTCTACAGAAAAACAAAAAACTATTTGCGATATTTACACAAAGATAGTTAAAGTGAGGACTTTAAACTTGATTGACAAATCTTACCTTTAATTGGATTGTTGTGAACTTGCATCAATTCTGTTGGATACTGTTACTTGGCAAAATGTTTTTGGTAACACAGGAAAAAATAAAACATTAAGCCGCAGCTTTCAAAATACAGAAAAAAGCCGCGCCTTAAAGTCGAAAAAATACAATGTATAGAGTAAAAAATAGAAAACAAAACATCTTTAGACATCATTTGTTTTATTTTCAAAATATATTAAGGACAATTTCATTGTAACATACTGCACTGTGCAATCATCAGTTTGATTTCATTTATAGCACTCACTTTTCCCAATCACACACATACACATACACACATACACACACACACACACACACACACACACACACACACACACACAGGCACCAGCACAATTCAACATATAGCATCAGCCCGATGGGGCGTCATAATAAAATAGAGATTTACAGTTATGTCTAACATTAGAATACAATCTGCCCATCAATGGCATCATATCAGTGACAACAACACAAAAGTAATAAATGCAACAATCAAGATCTCCACTTGTGTGTTTGAAGTGCTTTCATGGAAACTAACATTTGTAAAAAGGATGTATTAACTCTTTTAACTAATTTATCATGTCTATATCCTACAGAACTAAACTAGAGACATGGAGGGCACTGTTCTAAGTTTAACACCAGGAGGACAATAAAGGCCCTTCATGTCCAACTGTGGGTGGAGTTATTTGGTTTTGGGAGTCGAATTCTCATTCCCATAGACGTTTTAAGCATACCAGATGTTAAGAGTTCGGATGTGGTGCCAACAACCATCGATGACTGTTAAAGCACTATTTCTGATATTATATTGCTTTAGTATCTTCAGTATCAAAGATGGTCTCAGAGTTTGATTTCTGTTGGTAAAACGTAGCAATTTTGTGAAGCCATGCAAAAATACATATTCCGTTCTCTGACTATACTGTGTTTTGAATAATAATTTTGTCAAACCATTTGGAAGGCTGTAAAAGCAGGATTGATCTGAAACTGTAAAACAACATTCAGATCAAATACTGATTAATATAAGTTTACAAAAATCCCGTTTGTTTGTTTTTATCTATATTCCAGTTACAGATTTAGACACTAGCTTTTCTCCGTACATACATGTATACACTCAAAAATGTCGCTTTTACAAGTTTAACTGATGTAAATGTTTTTTGTTGTTGTTTTTTTAAATCTATCTGGCCTATGACAACTATGATGGCGAATCCTACCATCGCATTGAAGTCTATGGGAACTCTGCTGAGCTCCATTGTCCTGAGTATATTATCATTCGCCCGTGAGACAGGTTCCAGCTTGTCTCGTACTTCAGTAACCATAGTAACCGCCATAAACAGCGCTTTCTTTATTCTTCACGTTCCGCGGTAACCCAACACTGCTGCCTTTGCATACAGTCTATTGCACAATTAGTCATAGCTTTGCCTCTTGTCAATTCATTTCATTTAAGTTCTGATATTCGATCAACATCCCGATTTTTGGCACCGCTAATTTACTTTTTAATTTTTGCGTATATATCTAAGATCATGGAATATTAGTTTTTTGTCTCATCTTTTTGTGGTGTGGCATTGGTCACACACTTGTCAGACTTGACCGAAGGAGAAAATAGCGTTTGGGCTGTGCAATATTTAATTGAAGTGTCAACTAGAACACAATGATCAATATCGCTGCCGGTCCGGTCCTCCATCGACTGTGAACAAAATGAGGATGTAGAAAAAATTTGATTTTTGAATTTCCTTTGTTTGTCTCATTTTGTTCTTCGTCGTTTTCAAAGGACTTGACAGCCACAGCTTTGGTACGTTTCCACTTCTGATTGTGAATCGGGGAACAGTACCCAACCCTGTAATCATGATTTTGGGATACAAGGATGTGTAATAAATGTCTAGGATTCTTTTTATCTTTTGAATTATAGAACTAATGTACAGTTTTGTTTTGTTTTCTTTAGCGGTGGATCTTTTTTGTCAATGAGGAGTGTTTTTTCAGGTTCTTCACAGCCAAGAGACACTCAGAACGCCAAAAACGATCAGGAGAGCTGCAGACAGGAGAATCAAAATTGAATATAAGTTCAAAACAAAAGGATAGTTTAAAATGTAATTGTTCCTACCATTGGACAGAGACTGCAGGGGAGCAGTCCCGGCGGTGGTGGTGGGGGCAGTGGTGGTGGACACGGTGTTGTTGGTGTTGGCCGCTGGGTTGGTGAGATCCACTGGGGCTGTCCTCACATGTGTAGTAGGTGTACCCAGAGTTCCATCGGCTGCAATGTGAAAGATGTATTTATTGTCGGTGGGAGCCACACAAAATGTCAATATGTATTGATTTCAACCATTGTCATCCAACACAGAACAGTGTGAATGGTGTACAGACAGCATGTGCCATGGTCCACGATTTCATAATAATGGAAGAAACATTTTCTGATGTTGCGTCAAATCTTTGACTTTATTGAGCTTTGTGGCGGGATTCTTTCTGACTCACCCGCAACAGATCCAGTCAGCACGCCCAGTGTGTACGTAGAGTCTGCTGCTCTGTTTGTTGATGTTGCATTGGGGATTGTGGCTGAAAATTCACACTGGATCCTTCTGCCGGTCACCTTGGCTTTCACGTTTGTCACCGGTGTCTGAAGAGAAAAAGGTCAGTTGAGTGAGAAAGGTGATTCACAAATGAGTTACAATGTTTTGGTGGCTCCAATACACACAAAACATTGAGTATGTTATATACGTGCATTCTGTACAGGTAATTGTCATAAGTACAATAAAAAATGACTGCTTAACAAGAATTATTGATTTGGCAAAATTAATTAATACACTCTCTGATTTAGTTGAATTGCAAACACTCACTCACCTTGATATTTGTAAAAACTCCATTTGTGAGTGAAACGCTGCGGAAAGTAACTATGCCATTTCTGTTAACACACACATACACCGTCTGCGTTCCTCCCTGCAAACACAACAAATTATGAACTCAAACAGATGCGTTGCAATGTTGCCATAAGATTAAGTTTAAGGAAACAATACACAATAAATAATGATGAAATTACACTCGTGTGGATCACAAGTTTCAGAGAGTTACACAGACACCATCTGATATCATAGTTCTACATTTCTCCAGTTTGGGCTCGACCTAGACTCTAAATACTGTTTTATTTTTTAATGAACTTGGACTTACATTTGGTGGCCCCAGAGCACAAGCCAAGTAACCGTCACTTTCTCCGGCCAACCCAAAGTTGTGGTTGAAACCACCAATTCTCTTCACGCTGGTGTGAAAGCAGGATCCAGACGCAGGGTCACAGCCGCTGGGCTCAGCCGCACACAGACGCTCTGTTCCACAGCCAGAAGTGGTCAAGTTGCTCTGGAACACAAATGAAAAACACATCAAGATCTTCTTCTCAATAAAATGTTACTACTCATAAATTCCATTGATTGCTTTAGTTTGGGGGTCTGAGATTAAGATTAGGAGATCCTTGAGAGATGTCCCACAGTGGGGAAATTTCAGTGTTGCATTACAAGTTACAGACCAGTGGGAATGAGCACACAGCACAAGAAAAATGAACACAGATCTACTGTATACTAAACTTTACACTTTTTCCCATGTTTCCCTTATTCCCACTGCTTTTTTCTACCAACGATTTGGACCTTGTTTTACGGTTTTATCTTTGCAACGTTTTTGTGACAACTGCTGTTGCAATCGAGAATGTAAACGTCACAGGAAATGATGTGACGTTTACATTCTCTTTGATCTGCCCTAGTCTGGGGGGCCTGAAACATGGTAGTGGAGTAGAATTTCATGTCAGAAAGTAAAATCATTTAGAGAATACTGTCTTTTGTTAAACATGCATAAGTTAGAGTAAAATGTGTTCCTCGTGTAATTCAATCTTATACCACCAGAGGGAGTATTTGAATTTCTTTCAAATTCAAACCTTTGCCTATAGCAAACACAGACTCTAGTTCTCTGGCCAGATTTTCCTGATTTTAGCGAATTACAGATGCCAAACATGCTTCTGCTAATGTACAGATGTAAACATACTGCTGCTAATGTACAGATGTAAACATACTGCTGCTAATGTACAGATGTAAACATACTGCTGCTAATGTACAGATGTAAACATACTGCTGCTAATGTACAGATGCAAACATACTGCTGCTAATGTACAGATGTAAACATACTGCTGCTAATGTACAGATGCAAACAGACTGCTGCTAATGTACAGATGTAAACATACTGCTGCTAATGTACAGATGCAAACAGACTGCTGCTAATGTACAGATGTAAACATACTGCTGCTAATGTACAGATGTAAACATACTGCTGCTAATGTACAGATGCAAACATACTGCTGCTAATGTACAGATGTAAACATACTGCTGCTAATGTACAGATGCAAACATACTGCTGCTAATGTACAGATGTAAACATACTGCTGCTAATGTACAGATGTAAACATACTGCTGCTAATGTACAGATGTAAACATACTGCTGCTAATGTACAGATGTAAACATACTGCTGCTAATGTACAGATGTAAACATACTGCTGCTAATGTACAGATGTAAACATACTGCTGCTAATGTACAGATGCAAACATACTTCTGCTAATGTACAGATGTAAACATACTGCTGCTAATGTACAGATGCAAACATACTTCTGCTAATGTACAGATGCTAACACATAACTGCACTTTACTTGCACTAGATTACACAGTACTTTATACTTGCCTCTTATTTTGCCAAGTGTTACATTTTTACATCTATTATTTTTTTCAAGATAAAGATTTCATACTTATTATCGATGCTCGAGTTAGAGATTTTGTTTTATTTTAATTAGTAAAGCTACTGTTCACTTAACGTGTGCCGTGTGCTCCTCTTTCCTACTGTTCTATAACTTGTGATGCAACACCGAAATTTTCCCCACCCTTTAATGCTGAGTCCTTGTAGAAAGCAAATGCAAATGTGTTTTTTTTCCTGAGTTGTAGAGCACTAATAACACTTTTTTAAATTAATTTTATGATTTTTTATTTCATTTATTGTAGACCTTTACCAAATGTTTGAGAAGCAGATTGATGCTAAAAGTGCCTAAAACCAAGGGATATGAATGCCCCAATGTGGTATATTTCACGTATATATATATATATATATTAGTATAAGGGACTGGTTACTCACTTATTTCTCTTCATAGTTACTCATAAAGTGATCCACCATTGGTTAACTAAACTATTGAAATTCTGAATTCAAGTGACATGAAATAACACATAATTCCTTAGATGAGATGGTGTATGTGAAAAGCTTTAGAGACAGAGGAGGAACACGGGGGAATAGGGGTGGGCAGAGTGGGATGGGGGAGGAATGCATTTACCTTGAGTGACACTGCGACAGGGAGAGAGAGCTGCATGCGACACACTGCAGAGGTTCATGAGGACACTCTCTCTACAGCAGGAGAGGGGCTGAGGGGGCAGCAGACACAGAGCCACTTGTGGATTCATGAGAAAACAAACTGCATAACTGTGTTTGTGTTCATTGTGGCCCTTAAACATGATCTTTCACCTTTTTTTTTCTATTTTTTTAACCTTTGGTGCAAGGTTTTGGGGTTGGGCAAAACTGGAGTGCCCAGAGGAAACTCACCCATGCAGACACAATCATGCAAACTCAACCCTGTGAAGTATGAGAGATAACCACTCAGCCACGGTGCCGACACTATTAACAATGTCTAGGTATTAGTTTATTTTATTATTTTCAAGTATTTTGTACAAGTAACATGCATTATACCGTTTTTTTTTCTTCTCAGTTCTTCAGGCATTTCCATGATCAGAATGTAATGTAAAGTCTAAACCTTATGTTTTCCGATTCATTTAATTCAATTTGATTAATTATTGTACAGCCCTAACTCACAACAGTCAACTATCCTATTGGAAAACAGTGCTTTTCTTTAATAAGTAAGGACATTTTTGTAAGATAAGTAAAGAGAACCTATATTCGTCCCACAGTGGGGAAATGTCAATGTTGCAGCGCACATACAGTGCCTTGCAAAGGTATTCGGCCCCCTTGAACCTTTCAACATTTCAGGCTTCAAACATAAAGATATAAAAATTCATTTTTTGCCAAGAATCAACAACAAGTGGGACACAATCGTGAAGTGGAACGAAATTTATTGGATAATTTAAACTTTTTTAACAAATAAAAAACTGAAAAGTGGGGCGTGCAATATTATTCGGCCCCCTTGCGCTTATACTTTGTAGCGCCACCTTTTGCTGCAATTACAGCTGCAAGTCGCTTGGGGTATGTCTCTATCAGTTTTGCACATCGAGAGACTGGAATTCTTGCCCACTCTTCCTTGCAAAACAGCTCGAGCTCAGTGAGGTTGGATGGAGAGCGTTTGTGAACAGCAGTCTTCAGCTCTTTCCACAGATTCTCGATTGGATTCAGGTCTGGACTTTGACTTGGCCATTCTAACACCTGGATACGTCTATTTGTGAACCATTCCATTCTAGATTGGGCTTTATGTTTTGGATCATTGTCCTGTTGGAAGATAAATCTCCGTCCCAGTCTCAGGTCTTTTGCAGACTCCAACAGGTTTTCTTCCAGAATGGTCCTGTATTTGGCTCCATCCATCTTCCCATCAATTTTAGCCATCTTCCCTGTCCCTGCTGAAGAAAAGCAGGCCCAAAGCATGATGCTGCCACCACCATGTTTGACAGTGGGGATGGTGTGTTCAGGGTGATGAGCTGTGTTGCTTTTACGCCAAACATATCGTTTTGCATTGTGGCCAAAAAGTTCGATATTGGTTTCATCTGACCAGAGCACCTTCTTCCACATGTTTGGTGTGTCTCCCAGGTGGCGCAAACTTTAAACGAGACTTTTTATGGATATCTTTGAGAAATGGCTTTCTTCTTGCCACTCTTTCATAAAGGCCAGATCTGTGCAGTGCACGACTGATTGTTGTCCTATGGACAGACTCTCCCACCTCAGCTGTAGTTATCTGCAGTTCATCCAGAGTGATCATGGGCCTCTTGGCTGCATCTCTGATCAGTCTTCTCCTTGTTTGAGATGAAAGTTTGGAGGGACGGCCGGGTCTTGGTAGATTTGCAGTGGTCTGATACTCCTTCCATTTCAATACAATTGCTTGCACAGTGCTCCTTGATGTTTAAAGCTTGGGAAATCTTTTTGTATCCAAATCCGGCTTTAAAGTTCTCCACAACAGTATCTCGGACCTGCCTGGTGTGTTCCTTTGTCTTCATGGTTCTCTCTGCGCTTTAAACAGAACCCTGAGACCATCAAAGAGCAGGTGCATTTATACGGAGACTTGGTTACACACAGGTGCATTCTATTTATCATCATCAGTCATTTAGGACAACCTTGGATCATTCAAAGATCCTCACTGAACTTCTGGAGTGAGTTTGCTGCACTGAAAGTAAAGGGGCCGAATAATATTGCACGCCCCACTTTTCAGTTTTTTATTTGTTAAAAAAGTTTAAATTATCCAATAAATTTCGTTCCACTTCACGATTGTGTCCCACTTGTTGTTGATTCATGACAAAAAATTAAAATTTTATATCTTTATGTTTGAAGCCTGAAATGTGGCGAAATGTTGAAAGGTTCAAGGGGGCCACATACTTTCGCAAGGCATTGTACATGACAGTAGTAACACACACAATATACAATAAATGCTATCAATATACTGTTATATCTCTATCTATGTATAGTGTAAAGTTATATGCATATGACAGTATAAGTAACATAATAAAGCAATATTCAGTGGATATTCTGAAATTGCAGTGTTGCACATGGTTGCAGTATTTAGTATTTACAGATAAATGACATGCACAGGCTCAGCAGTACTCATTGTACAGTCTAGTGAGTTGCAAAATACAAAATGGTACTATATACAAAAAGTGAGGAAACAAAGATATGGGAATAACAAAGGAAAGGGTTCGAGGCAGTCTGTCTTAAAAAAAAAAAAAATCCTTTAATATTGTGGGGACATAAATGCCATCATGTCATCAATAATACAGTATTTTTTTCCTTTGTTTCCCACTTAATTTGTCCACGGATCTTTAAAGAGCACCTGATTCCTCAAGTTTACCCTACATTTCTTATCCCTGTATGCACTCATTCCTCTTGTATTTTTGCTGATCCAAAAGATATGTGGATGTTTGACTCCAACATTGGGAACAAATACAAGTCAGTGTCGTCATAAACCATAAGTGGCATGTTTGTTCTTATTGGTGGCGTTTTATTGCCGTCGGTGCCTGCTGTATGACTTGATAACCTCAGAGCGATTTGTCAATATGAGAGGAGGGAAAATGAAGCCGTGAGTCGATCGATCCGCACAGAAGAGCTGACGTCTGCAGGAAGTGAGCAGATCAATACAATGTGAAAGACCCCGACTATAGGGGTCATAATCCGCCTTTTCCATCAGAGTTTACAACAGAGTTTAAAACAGGGCAGGTGGACGGGTCAGACATCTACGGTCGAAAAGTCACACAGATGATTGGACCAAAGACATGCATTTATGTGACGTAGATTTAAACATTTATGCTGGAGATATGGAAAACTGGACGTCCTATTGCAGGATTGGTTTGATTTGATTTTTTTTTCATAACATTTAAAACAGTTTTTTTTACTGGTCACTATGTATGAAGACACCGTATGTAAGTATTCATTTTTTCAGCTGCTAAATACGTAATATATGTTGCCATCAAAAGTGTTTTTCAACAAAGAATATTCCATATAGGGTTCAGTGAGACTTCCCAGACTTTTCCAGTCTGTATGAATCATGGTCATCATGGTCTTCTCCACAGCCTTCACCTCAGATGCAGACCATGGCTTTCTTACACGTTCTAGGGAGAGAAATAAAAAATATATTAGAAATATACACTCCCAGGGTTAGGACCAAGCAGCCTGGGTGTTGAAGAAGATGACAAAGTCTGGGATCGTGTCATAAATTCAGACAGAAGACATGTTTTATTGTTGATGGTAGAGACAGCACGAACAACACGAACACAGAATGCAAGTGTATTATACAGAGCGGAGGTATGGAGACCTCCAATCAGCAGCTTCCACGGTGCCATGTAGCTTGGCCTTCAGATAGACAAAACAAGGGAAAAGTACGGGCTTCTGCACATTGATAGAATGATGAGTTTAACTTTAACAAAAGTTGCTTAAAAGTGTTATGAAATCTCACATTCCCCCCTCTGGTCACACATTCACGTGTGACCATCAGGATCGATAAACAGCAAACATAACATCATAACTCAATACTTAAACTCATAAACTCGGTACTTCACTCGGTACTTCAAAAAACTCAGAACTCGGAATACTTCAAAAACTCAGAAAACATGTTCAGATCTTTCATAAAACTTGTCAACAATCTTCAGTAAAATACCAAACTTCATCAGTCGATGGTTCCAGATATTGCTTTGAAAACAGTCTCTCCCACTTCTCCGTTTTAGTTTTCTTCAGGCTGCATTTGTGTCAAGCCATGAATTCTTCTGTGACGTGTCTTTCAAATCACACGTTTCAGCTTCAGTGTCCAGATTCAGCAATTCAATTCAGTCCAAATCATGTCCAAATTCAGATATCCAATTGTTCCAAATTATGTCCATGCAAAAGAGGACGCTGGTATTGTCCATGTCTCAGCAGCTCACAGCCTAACTGGAATCAGGGGCTGTGCAGATTGTCCAAGTGTGCTGGTCCAGATGCATGGTTTCTCTTGAGGTTTCTCAGTTTTGGCTTGAAAAAAAAAAAACACTTTTTGTGTAAAAAAAAAGTAGTCTTCTGTTCTCTAGATGTTACAGACAAGGCCCGCATTCTTCCACCACCTGAAGAAGATGACAAAGTCTGGGATCGTGTCATAAATTCAGACAGAAGACATGTTTTATTGTCGATGGTAGAGACAGCACGAACAACACGAACAACAGAATGCAAGTGTATTATACAGAGCGGAGGCATGGAGACCTCCAATCAGCAGCTTCCACGGGTGCCATGTAGCTTGGCCTTCAGATAGACAAAACAAGGGAAAAGTACTGGCTTCTGCACATTGATAGAATGATGAGTTTAACTTTAACAAAAGTTGCTTAAAAGTGTTATGAAATCTCACAGTGTAACCCCCCACCTGGTACACTTACCAGAAGGGGCACTGCCACTACCATGCGGTGCATCTGGTTGAATGGTTGAAGGTCCTACACTTGAAGTTTCTTTTAGCCCCTCCGTTTGTGAGAGGATCTCTACTACTCTCCCTGTAGCACAGAAAATAAAAATACAAGTGTCATTTAGGGGATAATAATACAAATGATAAATCAAGAATTACTGTACCTTCAGGCTCAATTTGTATCTGGTCGAGGCTCTTTCCTTTGAATTCCGTCACTCTTCCCTGCTCCATGGCCATTAACACTT